AAACCTTGAGTTGAGACAGAGCTCTGTGGGAGGTTCTTGTCTTGTTCAGTCGCCTTAGAAGAAAGCTTCCGGCAGTACGGAGAGTCAAGAGGCTTGCTTCCCGGAAGTAGGACCTCCCTGTATCCGCCCTGCTCCACTCCCCCCTCTCTATACATGTATATATATACATATGCATACATGTATGTATACATTCACATGAATCATATATATATATATGTATGTATGTATGTATGTATGTATGTATGTATGTATGTATGTATGTATGTATGTATGTATGTATGTATGTATGTATGTATGTATGTATGTATGTATGTATGTATGTATGTATGTGTGTGTGTGTGTGTGTGTGTGTGTGTGTGTGTGTGTGTGTGTGTGTGTGTGTGTGTGTGCTTTGCTAAATACCATCTGTGTGTGCATGCTCGCTCTCTCCCTCCAGGTGCGGGCGATGGCGACGCTGCACCATCCGAACCTGGTGCGGCTGCTGGGCTTCTGTCTGCACATGGACGTGGAGACGGCCAAGCAGGAGCAGGTTCTCGTCTACGAGTTTGTTGCCAACGGCGACCTAGACCACCACATCCGCGCCCCCAAAAGTCAGTTTCTCCGCCCGCCCGCCCGCCCGGCTCCCTGTTGCTGCCGGTGTTTTATGAGAATTTTGTAAATGCATCCACCGCCACATTCGCTCCTCTATCAGTCAGTCCACCCATCCGCCCTCTTTGAGGCGCTTCGATAATCGTCTCACTTCAAGCAGGAGTTCGTGCTTGTGTATGAAGCAAGCCAAGAACAAAACGTGTTGTTCTCCAGTTACGGCCTACCACCCACCACATCTGCTCTCCCAAACATCCGTCCGACCGTCAACCCGCTTCCCTCCCCGCCCTCTTGCGAACTCGATAATCCTCTCTCTCCACCAGGTTCTATAAGAAACCATTGCGAATAACTCGTTCTTTATTCCTTTCTGCGTTTTCTGTATCCGGTGGCCTCTCCTCCTGCTGCTTTTCTTCAACTTTTCTCTTTCCTGTGATGTGATGTGATGTGGTGTGATGTGGTGTGACGCAATGCGATGCAACGCGGTGTGATGTGATGCGATCGACGTGTTGTGCGGCCTCGGCCCTCAGTACCACTGACTCTGGAAAACCGGCTGAAGATCGCCCTGGGAGCAGCAGAGGGGCTGGCATACCTGCACAGCTTCGCCACGCCCATCATTCACCGCGACATCAAGCCTAATAACATCCTCATCACTGATTCCTTGGAGGTACGTACGTACCTGCTTGGTGACTTTTGTGTCGATTCAAAATTCACCGCGACATAAAACCCAAAAACATCTTTATCACCGCATCCTTGGAGGTACATTATGTGACACGTACGTACCTGCTTGCTTGTGACGCCATTCTTTTCACCTCAAAACTTAAAACTCAGCAGCATTCCCTACGTCCAATACACCCACACGCTGCAACTCTGAAAATCCCACTCTCAAGCACTATTTCCCAGCACGACCCCCTCTCTCACTCCCTCACTCGTGCATTCCCCCGGACCCCCGCCCCCTCTGCCGCTGCAAGCGCAGGCCAAGATCGGTGACTTTGGGCTGCTGAAGCAGCTGCAGTACGGAGAGGGCAGCAACAACGCCACCAAGGTGGCAGGCACACCGGGCTATGTGGACCCGGATTACAACCGCACCGCCATGGTCACCACCAAGAGCGATGTGTACAGGTGGGTCGTAGCATTGGTGCTTGCAGGTGACTTGAGAGTCGACTCAAAGGGCACGCCGGGCTGTGTGGAACACAACCGTTCAAATTGTCGCCTGTGCACATGTCAAACCCCCCTTCCTCTCCCCCTTCAGAAGGATTTTTTGCCACATGCTAACCATTTCCTCCTCTCCCCCCCTCATCATTTCCAGTTTCGGAGTGGTGCTTTTGGAGCTTCTCACAGGCAAGCCAGTCACCATCGACAGGTCCTGCCACATCGGCAAATGGGTATGCTTCTCCTGCTTGCTCGCGCACTCGTTCGCCTTTCTTCCTCTATCTCACATCCATCTCACATCCATCTTGTGTCGACGTGCCACTTGTCTCGTATCCATGAGGCGAATTGATTGCACTGTGGGAAATCTTTCAGGCACCTCAGAAACACCACATGTTGCCTTCCCTTGTGTCTCTTCCATTTGCCCCTCCTCCCCTCCCGATCAGCCCGTCTCTTCCTTTCTCGCTCACTCCCCTTTTTGCTCCCTCTCCCTCCCCCCCCCCCCCTTAAAGACATGTGATCATGTCTCTCCAAACTTATCATTCATTCAACCCAGACGCCTTCTTCCCGTCCCCTTCCCCCCCTCCCCCACCCTCCACCCCCTCTCTCTCGCTCGCTTGCTCTCTCGCGCTCTCTCACTCTTGCATACTCTCTTTTCTGCCTACTCCCTAGGCGTCCATCAAGCTACACAACTACCAGATACAGGATCTCAATGACAAGACTCGCACGTCCTCAGAGGACACCAGCATTGCCCTTGACTACATCAAGCTACACGACAAACAGATAGTACCTTCTTCCCCGGATCAACACTCATTCAACTCACACGCCTTCTTCCCATCTCCGTCGCCCCCCGCCCCACCCTCTGCCCTCCTGTCTCTCGCTCGCCGCTCCCTTGCTCTCTCCGTCTCTTTGGCTCTCTCTCCCTCTCCCTCCCTCTTTATCGCACACTTACTCCTCTCAGGCGTCCATCAAGCTGCACGACTACCAGATAGAGGATCTCAAGGACAAGACGCTGACGGCCTCAGAGGACGCAGTTCTGGAGCTTGCAGACATTGCCCTCGACTGCATCAAGCGCCGCGCCATCCACCGCCCAGAAATGTCAGAAGTCGTGCTGCGACTCGCCGCCATGGTGCGCGAATTCTGCCCCGCGGACGGGCAGGAGGGAGGAGGAGGCGAAGGAGGAGGAGGAGGAGGGGAGAGGCCGGGGCGTTATAGGCTGGGCCGAGCGCTTTCGACTGCGGAGGATGATACGGAGCCGCATGGACTTGGGGGAGGCGGTCACAGCCGCATGGATGGGCGGTCGTCTGGAGCGATGACTCTGCGGTCGGAGATTGCGTCTCTGTGTGCGGATAGTGAAATCATGGAGCGCAATCACAGCAGTGCCACCATTCATCACGATGACTCTATCATCGTTGCTGCTGCAGGGAGTAGCTACGTTGGGCTGCAGCAGGGGCCCTCGGCACGGTGAGGAACACAGGAGCAGCAGGAAGAGGAGAAGGAAGGGGTGATGGCGGGTGGGGGCTGGAGCTGGAAATGGAGCTGGAAGGGATGTGGGGTTTGTGCAAAGATGTCGGTGTAGATGAGGGAAAGGGGGTGAGGGAGGGGGCTAGGCGGAGGTTTGTGGTGTGTACTACCGTACAATGCTGGTTTGACATGAGTGAGTCTGCCTGCAGTCTGCAGGAGTCTTTCTTTGCTGAAATGAAACGATATCCCTCCCAGAGAAGCGTACAACAAAATGCAATTTCTCATTTTTCCACCAAAGGTGCAGGTAGTGCTTACTACACTGGTGCACCAGCATTTAGTAGCTCAGTCATACCGCAACAGACCTTTGATGTATGCACGTGGGGTGGTCCGGTCCGTGGACCATGCCTGCTGCCATCATGCGAGTGTTGCTGCCATACCACCATGTTCAAGTTATATTTTATATACCCGGCTTTGTCAAATAGTATTTATATGTTTTGTTAGTTTGCTGGACTACAGTGAGTTGCATAGTATAGGGTACAGTACAGTACACATTTTCCCTGCATATTCTATCATTACTTCTGCTTGCTATCTTTGAGATGCTTGCACTTGTCTAGTGGGTTTTCCACCTGAGCCGCGAAGTTGCACTTCATCATGAGGCTCACGGACTGGGCCCGCTGCAGTGCCTCAGACCACCTCTGACGGAACTGATGCAGCAGCTTTGTTGCCTTGTAAGATGAAGGGGCCGCGTTGAAGTGCCTGCGGGCAGCGGTGTCGGCTAGCAGTTCGAGAAATTCTGGGACTTCAGCGCACGGGCAGCCGTACGGTAAGTCTCGACAGCTAGGGGGAAGAATCCTATCCTACCCATGAGAAACAGAATTGCACTCGCGAGCTCGTGTATGATTAGGTATACTGGTTCACATGGTTTAGACACTGCCTGCCAGAAGCTGGTTGCAAACTGCCATATACGGTATGTTCATAAATTATTCTTACCGTACAGTGCCAGCACATCATGGTAATATTTATCCAACATCGACTGTCCATACGAGTTTGTCAAATGGATAATCTTTGAGGGCAGCACTCAGCAATAACACACACACACACACACGCACGCACGCACACACGCACGCACGCACGCACGCACACACGCACGCACGCACGCACACAAACAAACCAACCAAAAATTGGAAAGAGCCTCCATAAACATACATGGCATACGAGCCGGTGTGCTCAAAGTGAGCATTGGGAGGACTCCAACCTCGCTAAGGTTAGTTAAAAAGGGGGTGGATTCGGGCCGGAAAAAAGTGCGGGGGAGAGGGACTCGGCTGAGGAGAAATCTTTGCTACTGCAGAGAGATGCTCTAGGTTGGTGAGAGCGAGGGAAGGGAGAGAGGAGGTGGTGGTGAGGAAAGGCAAGGAGCACAATATCTGTGGACCGATACGGTAGCGTAGCGTCACAGACAGGGCCGCTGGCTGAAAGCTGTAGGCTGCTGCTGGCAGCGTTGCAGCGTGCTGTGCTGTCACAGAGTTGCACTCCCTTATGCTGCAGAGTTGCAACGCATGCTGCGACAGGGGAGGATGTGTCCAGCCAACGTCTAGACGAGCACACAGCTTGGAGACATACACATGCATCCCCTCCCCCCTTCCTCTTGCCGGTTGCGAAGCAAAGCAACTAGCACCGAGTCAAAAGGGAAGTCTTGGTTCAGGATGTGTAAGGTATAAAGTACAGGCACAGGGTAATAAGGTATAGAGCACAAGATATAGGGAACGTAGGGTAGGGTTAGAGTTAGGATCAGTTGAAGGTAAGGGTTAGCTAACACAGGGGGTCCATTGGCTGGCGGGATCGCAGATGGACATTCCTTGAGGCACAGTAGCGGGACAATTGAAGCCGTTGCACGAGAGGAAGGCCCCGCTGACGCTGAAATAGTAGTTGCTGTTGATCTGCGAGCATACCATGTTGTACACTTTTGTTGCTGTTGTGCCAGTTGGGCATGCGGCTGCGAACGCTGCTTGGCTGGATAGGCACACCTGCGGTGAGGGGGGGAGGGGGGGCGAGGGGAAGAGGTGAGACATGGGAAAGGGAGGTTGAGAGGAGGCGAGAGGAGGGGGAAGAGGAGCGGGGAGAGGAGGGGGAAGAGGAGGGGGAAGAGGAACGGGAGGGGATGGGGCAACAAGGTGGCAAGTGGAGCAGGCAGTGGGTAGAGGGGAGCAGCAGGCAAACCCAGAGCAACAAAGGGGCCAGGCGTGGCACGAGGATTGACAGTCATGAAACCCAGCAAAGTACCAGCGCAAAGGGCTCCCAGCACCGCATCACACCGCACATCATCCCACATTATCCCACATCACCGCGCGCCATCGCATGTCACCGCACCTGGAAGCCAAAGTATCCTGAGGAGCTAGTAGACCAGGAGCTCTCGCCGAGGATGCTGACCGCAGGCGCCATACGCTCGCAGTTGATCCCCATGTTCAGGCGGAAGAAACTCATTGGGGAGAGAGGCGGCTTTGCAGAGAGGCGCAGCGAGTCGCAGGTGTCAGTGGCAGTGACGCTGCGCCATTGGGAGCACTCGTGGCGATAGCCCGCTAAAGCAGCGTTGCGCTCGACACACACGGCGGTGTTGGGCTTGAGTGCTGCGCAGTCCAGGCCGCGGTTGAGTGCGGTGATGTTGGTGAGGTTGAAATAGGTCTGCAGCGATACACAGGTGTCTTTCTGGAGAGAAGGGGGAAAGGGGTGGGAGAGACGCGCAGGGGAAGTGGAAGAAAGGGGAAGTGTGGGGGGGGATGAGGGGTGAGTGACGGAAGGGGAGACTGGGGTGGAGGGTGTGGTTAGGTAGGAGTTGGTTGGGTAGGGAAGAGTTTGGGAATCTAGAGCAGTGCAGGGTAAAGAATTTTGACCAAGAACAATTCCGGGCAGAGTGAGGGAGAGGGGAGAGGGAGAGGGCAGAGGAGAGGGAAGAGGAGAGGGCAGAGGAGAGGGCAGAGGAGAGGGAAGAGGAGAGGGCAGAGGAGAGGGCAGAGGAGAGGGATGACAGAAGAGGGCACAAAAAGAGGGCAGGGGGAGAGGGGAGGGGAAGGGCAGAGGGCGCACGGAGGAGGTGTAGTAGAGGACGGTGCAGGGCGAGACAGTGACTGCAGGGGACACATCCACCTCCGTACCCACAGGGATGTCAGCATTGCAGTTCACCGTGGGCTGGTGGGGCGGGAGGACGAGCAGGTGCCAAGGGGTGGGATGGGATGGTATGGGGTGGAACGGGTTTGTATATGCATTGGGAATGAGGATACGAGGGGGGAGGGGGGGGGGGGTATAGGAAGCGAGGCAAGAACACGCGGGCAGGAGCGTGAGGTGACAAGTGCGCATGTAGCATGTAACATGAGGTGTGGGACATGAGGTGTGGGACATGAGGTGTGGGACATGAGGTGTGAGACGTGAGGTGTCAGACGTGAGGCATACGTTTTTGGCCTTGAACTCTGTGAGAGTGAGGCTGTAGATGGGATGGATGTCTGAGCACCGCATGTTGCTGAATGTCACAATGTATGTCGTCCCCGCATCCCCTGTTGATGCCACAAAAAGATTTCACACCATGCCATGAATTACCATGCCATACCATGCAATGCCATGCCATACCATGCCATGCCATGCCATACCATGCCATGCCATGCCATACCATGCGTGGCCACGCCATGGCACGGACAGAACACATGGGAAGTAGAAGCACACATGTGGGACAGGAAGGCGTTGCTAACTATCGCAATAAGCAAGGCAGTCAACATGCCACTACTCACAACACAAATCACAGTGCAGCGCTGACCACTTTAGCATGCCAGTAACAAGGAGGAAGCAGCAGCGAGGAGCAGTAAGAGGGAAGCAGAGCTGACCGGGGAGGCAGGACTCGGAGCCATCACCTGTGGGCCCGTGCCAGTAGCCCGGCGGACACACACACGAGTACGCTCCCTTTCTGTCACTCACACATATGTTTGAGTCACTTCTGACAAGTCTCAGAACTTACCGGGGAAGCAGGACTCGGAGCCATCATCTGTGGGCCCGTGCCAGTAGCCCGGCGGACACACACACGAGAACGCGCCCTTGCCATCGTTGACGCATGTTCCCACCAGGCATGGATTGCGGTTCGCTGCCCCACAGGCATCCACTGCCAAGCGAGGCGAGGGAAGGAGGACGGGGGCGAGGGAGGGAGAGAGGGGGAGAGGGAAAGAGAGGGCAAAGAGAGGGCAAAGAGAGGGCAAAGAGAGGCATGGGCAAGGGTATGAGGACGGAAGGAGGGGATGGGGTGTATTTCGCATGGAAGGTGCAAGAGTGAGTGGAGTTACCTAGCCGTGACTTGCAGCAGAGGAGATGGGGGGATGGGGGGAGGGGATATGGGGTTGAAAGTGACGCATGAGCGAGGGGAGAGCGGGAGAATAGCGGGTGGAGGCAGAGAGGGCAGAGGACACAAGAGAGACGTACGGTAAGCGCAGGTGCGGGAGCCATCGGTGTTGGTGGCCATGACAAAGGGCAGCTTGCAGTCGCACACGTTGGTGGAGGCATTGGCAGGGTCCACAGAGCACGTGAAGCCTCCACACGGGTTCAGCGCCGGGCCCCCGGACACTCGGAAAGAGTTGGGGTTGCAAGGGTTCGTGGGGTCTGTGGGAGGGAGGGGAAGGGGAAGGGTCGGGCAAGGGAAGAGATTATAGGCGGAGGGAAATGCGAGGAGAGAAGAGGAACGGCGGAAACAAGGGAAGGAGGGATAAGAGGAATATACGGGAGAGGGAATCAGGAAAAGGTGAGGGAAAACCACTGAGGCGCCTAAAAAGGAGAGGAAAGACTAGTGAGAGGTGTCAAGGAATCCGGGGGGGCAGTAGAGATAAGTGAAAGACACGAGCAGGAAGCAGCAAGGGGTGCTTTAGTACTTCTTATTTCTTTACTCCCTCCCTCCTTCCCTCCCCACCACCTTCGCTCCCCTACCCTTCCCTCCCCCCCCCCTTTCTTCCCCTCCCCTCCCCCCCCCTCCCCTCCCCTCCCCTCCCCTCCCCTCCCCTCCCCTCCCCTCCCCTCCCCTCCCCTCCCCTCCCCTCCCCTCCCCTCCCCTCCCCTCCCTCCCTCCCTCCCTCCCTCCATCCCTTCTCCCACTCTCTCTCTCTCCCTCTCTCTCTCTCTCTCTCTCTCTCTCCACCAACCCCACCTGCCCGCCCGAGAGCCTGAACTCACCCTTCACAACAGGGACAAGAGCAGGCAGGGTATTGATGCCGCACACACCGCTCCCCCCCTGGATAGACATGCGCATGTACCCCCCCGCGCCCCAGTCCGGGCCCCACGAGTTGCGGATGATCCAGTAGGGCGGCGCCAATCCTGGCGCCCTGGCCTCCACTCCCGCTATAAGGTACCCCACTATTACCACCACGTGATTGAGGTTGAAGGTGAAGCAAGAAGGGTCCTGGTACACGTAGGTCTGGGGGGATGGGGAAAAGGGGGAAGGAGGATAGAGGAGGAGGAGGAGGAGGAGGAGGAGGAGGAGGAGGAGGAGGAGGAGGAGGAGGAGGAGGAGGAGGAGGAGGAGGAGGAGGAGGAGGAGGAGGAGGAGGAGGAGGAGGAGGAGGAGGAGGAGGAGGAGGAGGAGGAGGAGGAGGAGGTTTGGTTGCGTTGGGTTCATAGTTCCTTCAGGATATGTGTAAGATGGATAAAAGTGGCAGTGGTTTAACCCTTTTCGATTGCAAGAAAGATGTTTGCAAGAGGGAGGGAGTACGGAGGGAGGGGGTACGGAGGGAGGGAGTACGGAGGGAGGGAGTACGGAGGGAGGGAGTACGGAGGGAGGGAGTACGGAGGGAGGGAGTACGGAGGGAGGGGGTACGGAGGGTAAGGAAGGAGCGGAGCGCATTGCACGGGGGATTGGGGGAATGGGAGGCGAGGGAGGGGGGGATTCAAGGAAGGATGTGAGGGCGGGAGGGAGGGACGTAGGGAGGGAGCAAGGAAGCGAGGGAGCGAGCGGTAAAGTGAGCTAGCAAGCGAGGGAGGCGCAGAGGTTAGTTGGATGGTAGGGTAGGTAGGTAGATATGCAGGTAGGTAGATATGCAGGTAGGTAGATATGCAGGTAGAAAGGTAGATGGGTAGGAAGGTAGATGGGTAGGAAGGTAGATGGGTAGGCAGGACAGTACCCCATCGTAGAGGCGGAAGGTGTCGGAGTCAGCCTGGATGTGCACAATGGCTGGCTGGCGCTGCACGGCCAGCAGCAGCCCGAACCACCCCTGGAAGGACACCTTGGCGTACGACTCCACCTTGTAGGGGGTGTTCTCACACACACTCGGCGGCTGTGCACGCATCCAAGGGGGAGGAACCGGAGGGTCAACATGAGTGGGAGGGAGAGACGTGAGGGGGTTGGCAGGCGGCTCAACGGGCGATCAGCCATGGAAGGACACCTTGGCATACGACTCCTCCTTGTAGGGGGTGTTCTCATCTCACACACACTCGGGGGCTGTGGGTGCATGTGAAAGGGGGGAAGAGAGGGAGAGAGGGAGGGAGGGAGAGATGTGAGTGAGGGGGTCAGGTCAGCAGGCGGGTGAGGGGCCGGCCAGGCATGAAAGGGCTCCTTCTCCTTGGCCGACTGTTTGATAGGACTCCTTGACTCCTCAAAACGGATGCCATGCCTGGCGTGACTCGTAACGCGTGGTGGTGTGAGACCGATGGACCCGTACTTGCCAGGGTTAACCATCTTGAGTGCGTTGCGACGCAGCGGTTCAAAACGGATGCCATGCCTGGCGTGACTCGTAACGTAATGCGTGGTGGTGTGGCCTTGGGGGCTGGAAGGAACAATACGGCCTTCCTTTCCCTCCCCTCCCCTCCATCCACCCCACCATGCACTCACCGAAGCAGACGCGGGGCTGAGCGAGGCCGCACCCCGCCTTGGTCATGTTGAGAGCGTACAGCAGGGCGACGGCAGGCGAGGAGACCCGTTCGCTTTGCACCGCTGCACATAGCACACACATACATACTCCCATCCCACTCAATGCCCTGCTCCCATACTCACGCCCTCCACACAAGCACTCACCGAAGCAGACGCGAGGCTGAGACCACAGCCCGCCTTGGTCATGTTGACAGCGTATTGCAGAGCGAGCGCGGGCGAGGAGGGAGAGCAGGTGGACGAGCCAGAGGCCTGCAGCATCTGTGTCACTGACAGCTGCGGCGCAGCCGAGGCCCCGCTGTGCAGAATGGCGTGTGCTGACTCGATGCTCGCCACTGCTGCAAACGCCCAGCACGCCTCTGCGGGGGAAATGTACAGGCGGGATATGGCAACCGGGAATATGCGGAGGGGGGTATGAGAGGGGTTGAGATGCAAAGGGAAGGAGGAGACGAAGGGACAGCAGGAAGACGCCTGAGGGCGGAATTGTGGGGACTGTGGTGTGGAGGAAGGGAGATATCATAGTGCCCAAGGAGATGAGAAGACAAGGCAATGAGCGTTCTTGGTCCCCAATGAGCGTTCATGGTCCCCAATGAGCGTTCATAGTCCCCAATGAGCGTTCATAGTCCCTCTCTCTTTCCTATCCCATCCCATCCCGCACACCCCTCCCCACTCCACCGCCATTCCCAATGCGCACCGCAGCCGTTCTGGTTGAGCACAGGCGCAATGAAGGAGGGGGTGAGCCAGGAGGAGAGCGAGAGAAGCGACCAGGAGTCGGAGCCATCAGGGGACCGCGCAAAGCCCGCTGACGCGTACTGGAAGAGCCGGTTGCTGCCGTAGCTCGTCACCACCTTCAATGGGTCCAGCCCCAGCGGCATGTCTGCCGTGACGTGCGTGGAGGGGGGAGGGGGGAGGAGGGCGAGGGAGAGAGTGCAGGGCGGGTACAGGGGGGAACGAGGGAGGAGAGTAGGGGAGGGTCAGGAGGAGAGAGGGGAGGATTAGGGTGGAGTTGAGTTGGGGGGGTGAAGAGGTAGGGGGGGGGGGGGGGGGAACGGAAGGGAATGGGCGGGAGAGAGTGATGGGGCAATGGGCAGGTATGACATGACATGTTGATATGCTGCGGTGGAGTCCAGTGGCTGTAGTGGAAGAGGAAAAGCAGGATGGTGCAGTAGGGAAAGGAGGAGTGACAGAGTGGCAGTGGTAGGGGCTAGATAAAGACCAGTGCAACGTGAGGTGTGCTTGAGAATATCAAAATGAGAGGAATGCGGTGAGCAGGTTGCTGTGAGCAGGTTGCTGTGAGCAGGTTGCTGTGAGCAGGTTGCTGTGAGCAGGTTGCTGTGAGCAGGTTGCTGTGAGCAGGTTGCTGTGAGCAGGTTGCTGTGAGCAGGTTGCTGTGAGCAGGTTGCTGTGAGCAGGTTGCTGTGAGCAGGTTGCTGTGGGGAGGGTGCGTACCGGGTATTGCCACATGCGTTTGCTGCACCGGTGGCACTGCAGGAGAAGGAAAAGCACATGAGCAGCACAGATAAAGAGAGAAGGTTCAGGCAAGTAGATGAGTGGAATCGAGCCCCACTTAGAGGCCATGGTTCAATACGTGGCAGCAATTCCTTTGTTTGAGACACCTAGGTAGGTGAATGTGTTTGCGTATGCGTTTGCGAAAGCACATGAGCAGCACATGAGCAGCACGGAGAAAGAGAGAAGGTTCAGGCAAGTAGAATGAGTGGGGGGGGGGGGGGGGGGGGGGGGGGGGAGATGGGATGGATAAGCGATGGTGGTAGGGCATGTGTGTGTGAGAGCGGGGCGAGTTTCGAGGTGCCAAAAAAAAGACGGTGAGCAGAACAGAACCAGAGGAGATGTGCACACAAGTCCAGACCCTCTAGCTGCTGTCAAGCAAGTGCGGGGAGGAGCAGGCAGTATCAGGGAAAAGGGAAGGAGAGTGGGAAGAGGAAGAGGAGGAAGAGGAGGAAGAGGACGACAAAGGGAGAGGAGGAGCAACCGCGCTCTGCTCTCACCAGTGGAGATGCTCCAGGACGTGACAGTGTGCTTCATGGGCACCTTCCCTGCCGACCCCGTGAATCCAAAGTAGTACGACGACTCGCTCGTCGACGGCGCCAGCAGCTCGCACAGGTTCACCGCCACTCCGTCCAGCAGTGCCTGGCTGGGCTTGTCCGACCCATCGTCCACTGCTAGGTACACCCACATCTTGTGCTGGTCCGCATCATAGTCCACCCACAAGCGCCGGTCGAGGAGTGTTCGGGGGATGACGAGCAGGAGAGTGGTGGGTTTCGCGGAGGCGAGAGTGGTCGCGCCGCCATTGACTGAGATTGCCACGTGCGGGGCCGGCCCGTCGTCGGCGTTGCCCGCGTCCTGCTTCGCATCCATCTCAACCGCAATGGACCCAGCCAGAGAGAAGTACCCGAGCCCGCTGCCCCCCGCGCCCACCGCCGCGACCGGCGACACGAGAAACGCCATGCCGGTGGCGTTCTGGTTGATCCCAACGGACTCGATCCGAAAGGAGAAGGTGGCGTTGAAGCTGAGCTCTGTGCCGCAGACGGGCTCTGGGGTGGACGAGGGATTCACGGGGGTTCCCGCGGGCACGCTGGCGGGAGGCGTGATGGAGAAGAGGCGGATGGGCTGTGGCATGTAGGCGGCGCCCACGCTGTCGGGGCCGCTGGTGAGCGAGAGCACTCCGGTCTTGAAGGTGGCGTTGGCGACGAGAATGGGCGTGAGGAAGGGATCGGAGGAGTCGAGTGCTATGCCGATGGCGATGCCTGGCGGGGTGAACGGGAGGAATGGAGGTGGAGGGGAGAGAGGGCGATGGGGTGGAGAGGGTAAGGGGGGAAGGGTAAGGATTAGACAGCAGAACAGGGGGTTGAGAGGGGAGAAGAAAGAGAAGTGGGGTTGAATAGAGGAGAAAAGGGAGCGCGAATGAAGAGGGGAGGGAAGGGAAGCAGGAACGGGCCAGGCACGAGAGCACAGGCAGGGAAGGTCAGGTAGTTAAAGCACAAGAAAGACACAACCAGGGCGTTCAACGATTGGCAAGAGGCACTCGCGAGGTGGCAAGAGGCACTCACCGAGAGGCACACACGTGGTGCGGCGCGTGCCCTGCGCATACCCCGTGTCACAACTACACGTGGGAATCTTATTCGGCCCGTCCAGATAACACTCCCCGTGCCCGCCACACGGCAGGTCCGACGGACTCGTCCCGCAGAACGCGTGGCAGACCTCCAGCGGGCGCTGCTGCGTGGAGTCGGTGTCGGTGCAGGGGTAGTCGAGGGTGACGGCGAGGCAGTTGCCGGTGATGGTGCGGGGGAGCGTGCAGTCCGCCATGAGGCGCAGCAGGCCGAAGGAGAAGTAGTTGTTGGACACGCGGTAGATGGCGGCGCCTGGGCGGGGTAAGGCGCCTGCGAACTGGTTGTCGGAGAGGTCTCTGGGGGGGCGTGCGCAGGGGAGGGAGAGGGGAGAAGGGGGCGAAGAGTGGGGCAGGAGAAGGGCTTGGTTGAGGTGCGGGAGTCGACCATGAGGCGCACGCAGCAGGCCGAAGGAGAAGTAGTTGATGGATACACGGTAGATGGCCGCTCCTGGGCGAGGCAGCGCGCCTGCGAACTGGTTGTCGGAGAGGTTTCTGGGGGGGTGGCGATCAGGGAGAGGCGGGAAGGGCGAGGGCGTGGTTTAGGCTGGGAGAGAGAGGAGATGGATGGTGAAGGCTGGATGGGTTGGTGGTGGCAGCAAGAATCACAAGGAAACGGAAGTTGCAGCGGTTGCAGAAATTGCAGCGGTTGAAGAGGTTGCAGCAGTTGCAGGCAGAGTGGATTGGCCGACCAGGAAGAGATGGTAGAACCGGTGGGGCGACAAAAGAGAGTGGAGTGGGGCTGCTTACAGCGAGGATATCCTGAGCTTGCCCAGCACGTCAACGGTGCCCCACAGATTGTTGTCAGACACGTCCCTGAGGCACACACGCGAGGCACAGACGAGGCACACACGAGGCAGACATACAGGGGGCATACACGAGGCGAGCACGTGAGGCACACACACACACAGGGAGTAAGACGAGGTGCATGCGGTGGCGATGGGGGGGGCCACGACAAGACAGGTACAGAGGGGCAAGAAGTTGCTAGCGGCGAAACAGGCGGGCAGCAGCAGCGGCAGCGGTGGTAGCACGTACAAGGTCCTGAGCTGTGCAAGTGCTGCCATGCCCAGTGGTAACGGGCCCGTTAAAAGATTGTTGTTGAGGTACCTGGACACAGTACACATGGTGCGTAGTGGAATGGAGGGAGACAGAGGGGAGTAAAAGGTGAAGGGTGAAGGTTTTGAGTCTATCCAGCTGAAAAGAGTCAGTAATAGGAAGGAGGAGAGTGCGCAGACGAGGCATCCGCAGCGCACAGCGGCAGAGCCGGGGAACGCGCACGCATGCAGGGCGATTTGTGAGCGCTTTTTTAGGGCTCTCGAAAAGCTTCAGGGAGATTTTTCGACTCAAAGAACGTGCATGCGTGCAGGGCGTGTCATGGTGCGTCCCGACGCAGCGGCAGCAGCAGTGCCCGCAGGGAGCCCGGTCGGGTGGGTGGGGTGGGGTGGGGTGGGGTGGGGTGCAGCAGTCCCCAACCCAACTGGTGCGGCTTACAGCTCCTGCAGGCCGGCAAGGCGGCTGATGCTGTTGGGGAGAGAGTCCTGAAACCAGTTCTGCGCCAGGTTCCTGTTGCATGGGCGAGGGCGGTACGGCAGTGGCGAGTGGGGGAGTGGGAAAGGAGGGCATCAAGGAAGGGTGCATGGGTTGAAGGGAGCAGGTTCGGTGAATTGCGGGCGGAGGAGTGGGAGAGGTGCAAACGAGAGGGCGAGAGGGCGAGAGGGCGAGAGGGCGAGAGAGCGAGAGGGCGAGAGAGCGAGAGAGCGAGAGAGCGAGAGAGCGAGAGAGCGAGAGAGCGAGAGAGCGAGAGAGCGAGAGGGCGAGAGGGCGAGAGGGCGAGAGGGCGAGAGAGCGAGAGCGAGGGGAGGGTGGCGGAAGGGCAGCAGTGCAGAGGATTGACGTTTGGGCATTGCAGAGACTTGTCAAAAGGACGATGCGGTGATGGCAAGGCAAGCGAAGAGGCAAGGAGCGGATGATGCGGAGAAGATGAGGAGGAGCAGTGGCAGTGGCAGTGGCAGTGGCAGTGGCAGTGGCAGTGGCAGTGGCAGTGGCAGTGGCAGTGGCAGGGAGATTCGTACAGGGAGGTGAGGCCAGTGAGCGAAGCGATGGTGGGTGGGATGTAGGAGCCGAGCGTGAGGTAGGGTAACCAGCTGCGCGCCGCAACAGGACAAGGGGAGGGATGGACGGGGAGGGGAACAGGAACGGAGGAGGGGAGAACGGACAAGGGGAGGGGAAGGAGGAGAAGAAGGGGGCAAGTGGGGGACAAATGGGAAGGGGGGGGGGTATCAAAGGGAGGAGACGGATGAGAGAGAGGAGGGCGTTGCATTCAGCACGTGGCGGGGATGATGCGCCGCGAGGAAGGAAGGTGTCATGAATCGAGAGCTTGCTTGTGGACCGGAAAAGGCGATTTCTTGAGGCGCCTCAAAGATGACTGGAGTGAGGAAGGAAGGAGTGAGGAAGGAAGGAGTGAGGAAGGAAGGAGTGAGGAAGGAAGGAGTGAGGAAGGAAGGTGACATGACTTATGACTCGTGAGCTTGCTTGTGGACCGGAAAAGGTCCTGTGTGTGCTTCACAAGCATGGAGCGACGCACCGCTGCGCATCGAATAAGCTGCTCGAAACAGGGAGCGGAGGAGCGGAGGAGTGGTGGACGGCAACGATGCGCGTGTTTGGCTGTGTAGGAACGGAGGAGCGGAGCGGAACGGAGCGGAACGGAGCGGAACGGAACGGAACGGAGCGGAACGGAGCGGAATGGAGCGGAACGGAGCGGAATGGAGCGGAACGGAGCGGAACGGAACGGCGATGGTGAGGACGAGGAGCAGGAGCACGCAAGAGAGAGACTCACAGGCGGATGACGACCCCGGCCCTGTTGCACGTGACTCCCAGCATGGCGGCGCAGGGCGCGGTGCTGCGCCAGCCGTACGCGCTCATGTCCGTCCACACCTTCATCAGATCGCTCAGCACGCTCCCTGCCCCGCGCAAATGCCGGCCAGCACGCGGTGGGGGAGGAAGGGAGGGAAGGAGGGAGGAAGGGAGCGGGGGAAGGAGGGAGGAATGGAGGAATGAGGAGCGAAGGGATGGAGGCGGCACGTCAGCAACGAGCAGTAAGTGTGTGCGCGCAGCACAAGCGAGGATAGCAGCATTAGCAGAGGAGAGTCTGGTTCTGTTCAACTGCGAGTGCGAGTCGAGTCAGCTGCGAGTCGAGTCATTCCACGCGCCGAGTCAACAGAGTCTGCTTCTGTTCGTCACGCAACCCGAATCAATCAACCTCCTCCAACCACGAGCAAGCCCCACCCCACATATAATCCGCTCCGCGTGTGATGAGTCGATTTTTGAACTGACTCAACCACTCAAAATCCGACTCAACCACGAGCAAGCCCCACCCCAGCATCGTCATCGTCAGCATCGTCACACGTCCGGTGCTCACATTGCCCCGCGGTGGGCCGAGTCGTGGTGCTCTGCGCCACGGTCGACGGCACGCAGATGACCGTGCCGTTGCTCCCCGCGCCCGCGACGAGCTCTTCGCACGGGCGGTCCGAGTTGAACTTGCGGAACAGGTCCGCGCTCGCGAAGAAGAACCGCGTCGCGAGCGTCGCGCACGTCTCGCCCGCTTTCGTCGCGTACGCCACGCTGAAGCGCGCGCACGACGACATGATCGCGGGCGGCGCGGTCTGCCCCGACGACCCCAGTCCCTCCGCCCTGGGAACGCAGATTACGGAGCCGACGTTGAGCGGCTCGGTGCAGCTGTATCCCGTCGTTTCCTCGAAGGCGGAGTTCGAGTTGCCGAAATACGTCGTTAAGAGGTAGGTGCACGTGTCGTTGGACTTCAGCGGGTAGCGCTTGAAGCCGCGCGGACAGATCACTTGAATTGACTGAAAGACGACGAGAGGGGAGGGAATGGATTGGGGGAAGGTAGGTGGGGAGGGGAGACGGGGGGGAAAGAGTGGAGGAGGAGGGATGGGAGGGCGGAAAGGGGAGAAAGGAGGGGAAACGAGAATGGGGAGTGGCGATGGTACGGAAAATCACCGGAGCATCAGCGGCAGTTGGGGGGAAAGGGGAGGGGGAACGGGGAAGAGAGGAAGACGGCACCTTCCCCTTAGGAAGGCAGATGGTAGCGCCGGCCTGTAGAGGGTCAGCGCAGCCGGCGCTTCCCGTGAATTGCGCGAAGGTGTCATTGGAGGAGGCGAAGTAGGTCGTTAGGAGGTACGCGCACGTGTCGGTGGATTTCATCGTGTAGCGCTTGGAGTCTGGCACGGGGCACGATGTTGCTTTGGCCTGCGTTAGGGGAAGACGCGGAAGAGCGGAACGTCGGGGAAAGGGGAGGGGGGAAGGGGGAGGGGGAAGGGGGAAGGGGGGAGGGGGAAGGGGGGAGGGGGAGGGAAGGAGGACAGCGCTTCCTCGCGATGATGCAGCGGCTGGAGAAGGACGGGAAGAGGTAGGGGCGGGGGGGGGGGGGGGGGGGGGGGGGGTTGGGGACGCGGGAAGGAGGGGTCGTGGCGACGGCGGAAGGCGGACTTTTGATAATGCGTGAAGACAGATGTCACACGGCAGGAGGAGCAACGGCCATTCCGGAGAGGTTGCCCGCGAGACGAAGAGAGAGTGAATCACGAAGCGCTGTCCGTGTATGCAACAAGCGCTCTTTTGAGTTCTCGTGCCTCCATTTGCTCCGCGCAACAAGCGCTCCACTTCCCGACTCGCACAATTTTGCGCGCCAGCTGACCGCGACTTCCTGACCGCGCTGCGCCTACACTGCCCGTACCCACGCTGCCCGAACCCACGCTGCCCGTACCTGCGCTGCGTCCATGACTAGTAGCATGCATAGAGAGAGCACCAGCAGCGGGAGCCGCGCTCGCCCCTCCCCCATGACGCTGCTCCCTCTCCTTAAAGCCCCGAAAGGAAGCTTGCTACTTGTAACCCTCTTCATCGCAGTCGTCGCAATGCTAGTCGTGACACTGCTAGTTGCAGCACTAAATGGGATTGAGATTTGTGAGCATGTAGGGAGAAAACGGTCTAACTGAGTCCGTGGTGGTTGCTACAGCCGTCCGGTTACTAGTTCGCGGCGTATTCCTGTAATGGCAACCCTACTAATAGCGTCACTTCGTTGTGCCAGCGGCTTCGGGTGAATCACTCGCGACCCGTTCAGTTAAGACCTTGCTAGTGTGAAGTCGCTTCTAGGGGCGGTTAGGAGATCAAGAAAGCGAAATGCGACGAGAGAAGCCAAGCACTCGTACTTCTCATTTACTGGAACTCCCGAACTGTGAGCGGTTCCGGATGGTAGATTAACATCGCTGGGCAGGGGCGAATTCAGCTGACCCGACTACCGTAATCCCTTGAAGCGTGTGAGGGAAGGTACAGAAGCACAAGCAAAAGCGAGGCAGAGCGAAGTGAGCTTCTGCGGTGCAGCTTCTCACTTTATTCCTACTGTACTGTACCGAAATTGTGTTGATTGCGCGGGTGTCTTCGCTGCGTTGTGCTGGGTTCCTGCGAGGCTGGCACACCGACCATGGGCGGACCAGGCAGCACCGCATGAACTCATTCGTGCCTTCCCTTCTCGCTGCCCACTAAGGCAAAAAATCTCGCCTTGGAGGAGCACTGTGCATGCACAAACTATTGGGGACGTATTCGAAATTCGAGCTAATCTCCATCTAGGACAACGTCCCGTCTTCAGCTTCGTGTTTCCAACCACGACGATATTCGGAATTACGGTTTAGTGCGATTCTGAATTTTTAGGTTAGGGTTGGCAGAGTTTAAGATGTGTCTCAGTTCAGCTGCTCCTGCCTGGTTCGCTCCTTGGTTGCGGGCCCGAAACCCCGATTTTTCTGCGGCTGATCATGCTGTAATTCCCAGAGACATATTTGTCGAACACGGTCATCGGACACCCCCTAAATCAGATCTGTAGTCACCAAACGGCCTCTTTCGTTGAACAGTACACGTATTTTACGGTTTGGTTTGGGAGTGCTGGCCTCGAAATTCGAGGTCGCAGCGGGAGAAACAGCAAACTCCTATCCCATCAAAAGCAACAAGGCGAGGTGAGGCGAGTCGAGACGAGGCGAGTCGACGCTGGACAGTGGACACACCACACCAAAGTCAGGCAAGGAAAGACGAGGAGGGTTTCGAAATGAGCAGATTCCAGATGACCAGCAAACCTGGTGACGTGCTTACGAAACCCTCAATGCCGATTTCTACACTTGATGCTCGGCAAAATTCTCGACCGGCTGAATATGTACTCTCATTCCCGCCTCAAACATAAAAAGAAGGGCACATACAACCCCCCTTGAAATGCTAGTATGTGGGGTTATCTATATACATTATGTGGAGCGGAGCTTAGATGGCGTTCACAGCAAGTTCCCCCAAAGCGAACCGCACTCAACAAAAGTGCACAGATATTTGTGAAGCACGTGTTTGGGGTTGCTTCACGAAAGCACCTGATTGGGTTTGATAATTCGCTCAAACTCGTTTAGGTGTGTATCCACATTCACATGGCACGTGGAGTGGGTGTGGTCAGTTGCAAAACTGCCATGCTATACCCAAATACCTGCACTTTTGGGCCTCTTGGGGCTACTTCGCTTGGTGGAACTTGCTGTGAACGCCATCTTAGCTGCAACGGCCACATCAGCACAAAGTGACCCAGTCAAGATGGCGGTCCACTCTAAATCTGGCGCTTTGAAAAAGTTGAACATTACGATACATATAGTGTACAGGACAATGCCGCTGCCGAGTTGTACAAATTGGATGAGCCGATGGATCTTTCTTTTCGATGTTGGAGAAAGCACAGTAGCAAGGCAATGCCCGTTGGCAAGTGGTGCTGTTTGGACTCTCCCTCACGCCTCAAAACAGAACTGCACAGAAGATGGGAAGAATGCTGCACGATGAGTTGTACAGTGCTCTGTCTATCCTCTGAAACAACGATTCAAACTCGTCCAGAACTTGTCCGTGGTTCAAACCGCTGTTCAAATTCGCCTATGCTCAGAAGCTTAGTTAAAACTCTGTGATCCCAACGGACAAGTATTACAACTACATTGGTCCTTTCAGGAATACATACTTTTTTATCATGCAGTTGCGGACGTCTGGTTTCAGCAAGGAATGAATCCTTTCTTGACCTCTTCGCGTGCTCAGCAGCACCTTGTGCCGGTCTGCGCCACCTTCTGCGATGGGAACTGCAGAGCAGCACCTGAAAAATCCGTGGGTTGACACGGCACAGTCCCCGCCATTTATGGATCGATACTTTTTCGTACACGTCATCTTCAAAACTTTCAACACTTTCCAACTATCCTTCCGCAATGTGCCCGTGTGTGTACTGCACTGCACTCGAACAAATCGCCACGCAACACCCCTTCCTTTCACTGCCATGGGTGTCTCTGGGAAGGGAAACGTCAAGCCGAAGAAACATTCAGTTCTTCAAGAGCAAGCGTCACCTGGCAAACACCTGAAAAGAAGCAGGTGAAAGCAAGTTCAACGTACAACAGCTGAGAACAGTCCTGCCCACAACCCAGAGCAGATTTGTTGATCGTTGTTGCGACAGTGTGTGCTCCACGTTGTGTAACCCGTTTTGGAAATGTAGCAACCAGCTTATGTATGATTTCCTACAAAATAAAGTAGGAGAGCAACATGGCCATAAGGTTGAACGAGCCCACATTATTCTAAAATGTTAAGATTGGACACGGACTAAGAATGTATGACATAGAAACAGGGCAATGCGTATATATAACCACAGTGGTCTTCATGTCAAGCAGCAGTATTGCCTGGAGCTACACTTGTGGTGTCTATGCCCATTGCCCTGATCCACCAAGTTCACAGTTCTCGCTACGTAGGACTTCGGCTTCTTCTGGGAAAAAAAAAAACTTGCATTGCACGCCAGTATCTCTATCAAAGCACGTCAGCGTGAAATCCACGTTCTTGCATACTCTTGTTCTGGCTAAAGCTGTGCCTGCTACTCCTGCTCCTGTGGTCTTCACTGATATTGAGACCACAGCCAATCCCTGTGCTAGGCTTTTTAACCTCTGCCTAACACTCCCTGTGTGACTTGGTTGCTACTCACACCCACCAATAAGGAAGTGGAGACAGCCTTACAGGCAGCATACACTGGTTATGGAATGAGCTCGGTTTGTGGGGTCATGGTTCCTGTACGAGCATCTCCCATTGCTGTAGTTCCTAAACCCGGAGCATTTTTATTAGCTATTGCTCCTGTGCTGGCCTCCTTATTAGCATTCTCATCAAGTTTATATGGAAGTGACCCATTGCTCGCCCCTGCTGCCTCTATTGCCTCTCGTTCAACTGGTAGGGCACATGGAGTTTTGGCACAAAGGACGAGCTCTGTATTGAAAGCATAGGAAGGGGAATTGAGCTGGACATTCTGTAAGACAATATAAGCGGGTGACCAGGAGTAACTCTAAACCCCAAAAAGGATGCAGACATGAACAGAAAGGGTTCAACAAATAAAAAGATGAGCACGTGGACGAGAACACGGGAGAGGAAGAGGAAGGGGGAGAGGAAGGGAGAGAAAAAGAGGACCAGGAAGAGGAAACGGAAGAAGAAGAGGAAGATGAAGAGGAAGAGGAAGAGGAAGAGGAAGAGGAAGAGGAAGAGGAAGAGGAAGAACAAGCGGAAGAGGGGGAGGGATAGGGAGAGGATTTGGAGGAGGGAGAGGAAGAGGAAGAGGAAGAGGAAGAACAAGCGGAAGAGGGGGAGGGATAGGGAGAGGATTTGGAGGAGGGAGAGGAAGAGGAAGAGGAAGAGGGAGAGGAAGAGTTAGAGGGAGAGGAAGAGTTAGAGGGAGAGGAAGAGAGTAGGGAGATGGAGAGTGGATTGAAACACACCTTTGAGAATCTTCTGCAGAGAGTGAGCAAGGGCTTCGAATGGCGGGCGTGCAACAGGATTTGCATCAAGACATGCGGCAGCTAGGCGCAAGACAGAGAGGAAAGACGGAACACGATGGGCAGCAAGTGGAGCAGCAGCAGCCGCAGCAGCAGGAGGAGGAGGCGGAGGAGGAAGAGTAGAAGAAGCAGTAGCAGTAGCAACATTAAGAGGAGGAGCAGCAGCAGGAGCAGAAGCAGCAAGAGCAGGAGGATGGGGAGAGGAGGTTGTGTGCGACAGTGGGTCGAGGAGGGAGGGATCCACTAGGTCCTGCCATTGGCGCTTCTTCAGTGCTCCTTGGGCCTGGCCATGGCATTGGGAGGACAAAGGCGGAGGCGACAAGGAAGCATGGGAACACGTGTGGAGGGAGGAAGAACAGGGAATAACTGCTTGCAGATCGATGCGCTTCAACGTATGAGCGACAAGGTGGGGTGTCTGTTTTTTGTCTGTGAGCCTTTGAGGTCAGGAAAACGGAGGCACCGGCAGGGCATGTGTGCACGGGGGTACCACATGTGAGCTTGCATACGCGTGAATGCACGCACGAATAAGCGTGTGCTAAGGCGATGGAGTGGATGTTGTAATCATAGAGCGTACAACCACACGCTTCAGGGGCCAGCAGCACATCATTGTTCCGTTCCTCCGTCCGTCCATCCATCCATCCGTCCATCCGTCCATCCACCCATCCATCCACTGAACCACCGACCCACCCAACCAACCACCTATGTACCCACCCATCCACCCACCCACTGACCAAACATTCATCCGCACACACTCACCCAGAGCACTAGTGTGCAGGTGCCCTCAACCACTGGCGGCCGCCCCGATAGCAACTCCAGCAGCACGACTCCGAAGCTGTGTGCGTGCAGACATGGAAACAGATGTTTTTTTAACAGAAGTTCTTATTCCCGTGGAAGCAAAGGGATGGAGAAAGAGTGAAGGTGTGGAGAGGAAGGGCTACTGGAGATGGTGAGTGTGGATGTGGGTATGCATGGAAGAGGTATGTGGCAAGGAGTGAACAGGGGTATGGAAGAGCAGAGAGAGGAAATGATTGTGCACACACACACATGCACAAGCTCGCACACGTTGCCATATTGTTCACGTGCAGGCATCCAAAGCAAAACGAAAGAACAATAGATAATTAAAAAAATTACAAACATAATAATAACAATCACAATGATACTAACAACAATAATAATAGCGAATATGATAATTATTAAATTAAAACACGTTATCAGAGAATATTGGCAGGCATGGCATGGTATTCACCTGTAGGCATCCGAAGCAGCACTGGTCTCCCCTCGCAGCAGCTCTGGTGCTGCGTACACATCACCGCACGTGCCATGAGCAGCCGCTGCAGCAGCAGCTACACCATGGCACAGCGATGTGCAGCCGAAATCAGCGAGCTTGGCATCAAGCATGCCTGTGAGGAGAATGTTGGACGACCTGATGTTGCCATGCAGTACCTGATGCCCCGACACGACAGCCACACAGCATGACATGAGCAGATGTGGGGCATGGGGAGAGGTGGGGCATGGGGAGAGGTGGGGCATGGGCGGATAGCAGACGATGGGCGGTGGGGAATAGAAGGAAGAGGTGTGGAGTTGGAAAGAAGTGGGGTAGTGCAACTGGAGCGACGAGGGATGAGGGGGGATGTGCAAGTCAAGTGTGAAGTGAAGGAGAGCAGGGGAGTGAGGAAAGGAAGGGTAGAAGTTGAGGTCGGGTCAAAATGGGGCGAAAGCGGGCGAAAGAGGGCAAAAGCAGACAAAGCGGGTAATAGAGGTTGAAAGGGGACAAAGGGGGCACGAACGCAAAAGAGGATAGGGCAATAGCAAATGGGGGGTGGGGAGTAGGCGTGGCTTCATACAAAAATCCGAGAAAATGTGCACACACTGGTGAAAGGCATTTGATAAAGTGCGTTGTAGGTAGGAGGAAGGAACTAGCCTGAGAGGTGAGGCCAGCACTGACAACACAGCTCATGGCAACGGCGCCCTCAATCCATGATTGTTGGGCTGTGCTCATGTGCTCATGTGTGCACACACGCATGGTACCTGTGGCCTCTGGGAGTGAAGGTGGCGCACGGCCCTTGCTGTGCCCAGCGCTACCCTGAGCCGCTGCTCCCATGACAGGCGCTGCGGATTCATCGGTGCATGCGATTGTGGCGGCGTCTGTGCATGCCCTGTGGTGCAGCAGACACGTGGAGATGAGAAGATGGACGGATGGAGAGAGAGAGAAAGAGAGAGAGATTATTTATGGGATGGTTAGCTTCAAATCGAAACGCGCAGGGTGGTCGGATCGGAGGAAGGGTGAAAGGAGGGGAGAGGAGGAGGCGTTGGAAGCAATGGAGGCAGGAGGAAGAGACTAGATGGAAGAAGAGCACCTCAAGATGACTTTTGAGTCGACTCAAAAGTCACCTCAGAGACTAGATGGAAGAACGGCTTTTGAGACGTCTCAAAAGACTCAAAAGTCACCTCAGAGACTAGATGGAAGAAGAGCACCTCAAGAAGTGGATTTATCCAGTGATCTAATCTAACAGCCAGCCCACCATCAGCGCGCCTTCCAGCATCGTGCAACACCCACGCCCCATGCAACACCCATGCACCGCACTGCAGAGAGTCCCACCGTGCAAGTGGTCGTGCAAGGAGCCATGTGGCAGGTAGTGGCGCACTAGCATGCGCTTGGATGGAGTCACACAGCACCCCAGCACCCTCACCTGCCACCGCAGGGGGATGGGAGCGGGGAGAGGGGCGAGGTGAGGCGGGAGGAGAGGCGAGAGAGGGGTGCGAGCGGAGAAAGGGGAAAGGACAAGACAAGAGACAGGGGGTCCGAATATTCACAACTCTGTAAGAGCAAGTGGGTGCGGAAGCATGTAGCTCAAGCCTCAAACTGTGAAAGCAGCAGAGAGAATCTCAGGCCAGAATGATCAACGTTGTCAGTTCTCAGCCGCCCCTTACACGCTGGTTTATGCAGGCGCAGTGCAGCCGCAGCACGCACAGCAGAAAAGGCCGTGATTAAAGACAAGGCAGCCAGCCAGGCCATGATGGCACATTGGCATGGCACAAGTAGGTGCGGCAGGGGCAAGCAACAAGCTTTGGGGCAAGTGGTAGTAGAAAGCATTGGAGGCAAGCGTCGCCCTACCAACCAACCAACCAACCAGCCAGACTCACCAGGTTTCTGTGCTCCAGCCGTGCCAGTTTCTCCACCTCCCACTTGAACCCTGCATCTGTGTCCATAGCAGCAGGAGCAGCGCCAGCAGCGCCGTCACAACCACCACCACCACCAGTGGCACCACCAGCAACACCAGAAGCAGCAGAAGCAGCAGAAGCAGCGGCGGCAGCAGCAGCAGCAGCAGCAGCAGCAGCAGCAGCAGCAGCAGCAGCAGCAGCAACGCTCCTGTCGGCGCGGCGCAGCAGCTTAACAGCCACCTGGCGGCGAGGCTGCAGGGGCAGCACGCCCCGGTACACACGCCCACACGCCCCCTCACCCAGCAGATTCGCCGCGTCAAAAGAGCCCGTAGCCAGCTGGGAAGGGGGAGAGGCGTGGGCGAGGGGTGCGAGGGAGGATGGACGCAAGGGGATGGGAAATGGGGGTAGGGAATGAGCAGGGGGGGAGGGGGGGGAGAAATGGTGGTGTGAGGGAAGAGGAAGCACAGACGGGGTGGCTGCATGGACGGGGTGGCTGCATGGACGGGACACTTTTGAGAATTCTCAAATGCTGCTGCACAGAATCAGATGCAGCACGCATAGCATGGCAGCACGCATAACATCACGGGATGGCACGGCATCATACCTGCAGCTCGACCAACTGGAATTGCATGTGGTGAGGCTGGCTTGCGTGCTCCAGATCAAGGTTCTTGGGCATGGATACGGACCTGCAGGGGTAGGGAGGGGTAGGGAGAGGTGGGGGGGGGTGGGAGAGGACGAGCCTAGTTTTGAGGGGCCTCAAATCCAGATCAAGGTTCTTTTCTTGGACATGGATACGGACCTGCAGGGTCTGCTTTTGAGGGAGAGGTGGGGTGGGGAAGACGAGTCTACTTTTGAGGCGCCTCAGAATTGCATGTGGTGAGGCTGGCTTTTGCAAGGTTCTTGGGCATGGATACGGACCTGCTGGGGTAGGGAGAGGAGAGGTGGGGGGGGGGGGGAACGGAGGCGGTTGGTGACAAGGGAGAAGGGGGATGGACAGACAAAGTAAACGAGGATTCAGAAATGTAGTGTTGGAGTCAACTCAGACTGGGTTACAGCCATGAATACAGACGAGATTAAAATGGGCTTGATCCGCGGCAAGCCATGGATACAGACCTGGGAGAGAGCGACACGGGTGGGTTTGCTGTAGCCAGCTATAGCAGGCAGCTGTAGCCAGCTGCAGGCAGCTGCAGAGACAGGACTTGGGTGCCTCAAAAATCACCTGTTCCAGAAGCTACCTGACTCAGAATTACCTGCCTCTAATGTACCTGCCTCAGAATCTACCTGCCTCTAATGTACCTGCCTCAGAATCTACCTGCCTCTAATGTACCTGCCTCAGAATCTACCTGCTAATGGAGGAAAGGATGGTGCCAGCGAGGGAGCGTGCATTGGGGGCAGGGCGTTTGGAGGAGTGGGAATGGGTGGAGTGCGTGGAGGAGGTGGAGGAGGACAAGGGGAAGGCTGGTGCTGCTGCTGACCCATCCACGGCGCACGGCATGGGCTTTGGGGGCTTCCTGCGAATAGTGCCAAGGGTGTCTGGCAGAGGGAGAAGGAAGGAGGGCGGGGAGGGGCAAGGGGAAGGAGGTGGGGAAGGGGGAGGAGAGGGAGGTGGTGAGGAGGGAGGGGGGAGGGGGAATGGGATAGAATTAGAGCGGGTGAGGAAGTGGGGTGCTAGAGGACAGGACAGTGGCGGGAATTCTTTCGAGGCCTGCCAGTCATTCGGGGCTGAGCAATGGCCGACACCAGTATGGGACCACACATGATGCGATGCGAGGGGCAGCCAGCAAGTTGTGGCAAGTAAAGCATGTCGCATGTCTGACAGTGATATGGACAGTATCATCCCTTTCCACTCCACTCAACCACTTCACTTCACCAATCCACCGCCCACATAGAACTAGACTCCCAGGCTCACTGCTTTTCAGCAGCGCTCCAAACACCATTCTCGGCCCGCCGCGGCCTTCCTCCCCCTTGCTTTCCTCCCCGTTGCTGCCATCTCCCCCCGTGCCCTCCTCACTCCGCCGTCGCAACCCCCCTTCTGCTGCCAGCATAGCTTTCTCGCTCTCCTGCTGCTGCACCCGCCGCCACGTCTCAACCGCGCGCCGCCTCAGTGTGTCCTGCCGCAGAGAATTCTCCCCACTGCCCTCCCCACCGCTCTCCCCACTGCTCCCACCACCACTCCCCTCCTCACCACCCACCTGCTGCGACTTCTGACAAATCTCAACACACACCTCCTGCCGCACACCCTTCCCTCTCGTCCCATCCCTTGCTGCAGCTTCCGTGCTCTGAGACGTGTCAGAACTAGTTCTTTCCACTGGCCCATTCTCCTTGAAAGTACTCTGACTCTGGCCTTCCTGGCCCTCCTTTTCACCCCCCTCCATCACAGCCCCACCGTCTCCCACCACTTCCTCTTCTCCCACTCCATCCTCTCCTCCCTCTCCCTCTCCCTCTCCCTCTCCCGTCCCTTCTCCCAGTCCATCCTCTCCTCCCTCTCCCTCAGCTCCCACCTCACCCCCCTCCTCCTCCTCATCAGACCAATCATCCTCCCCTTCTTCCTCACACTCCTCCTCTCGCTCCTCACTCTCCTCCCCATCTTCTCTCCTGAAAAAAATCACCTCAACCTTATTCTCATCCTCATCCGTCCCCTCACTAGACACATCCGACTGCTGCCATGCCTGCACAGCAGCACCAGCACCAGCACCAGCACCAGCACCAGCAGCAGCACCAGCACCAGCACCAGAATCCCCGTCCTTGCTTCCTCCAAATCCATCTCCTAACTCCTTGCCATCCTGCCAGCCCTCCAACCCATCATTCACCACCGTGCTCTCTTGTCCCTCCTCTCCTCCCTCCGTTGCTACAAACGGAACAACATCATCCGCACACCCATTATCGAATCCATCCCTCACTGCTCGTCCCACAGCCTTCCCTCCCCCCAATTCTTCCCTCTCTTGTACCTCGCTCTCCTCGTCCTCCTCCCCCTCCTTCTCTTCCTTTTCCTTCTTCTCCTTCTCCCCCTCCTTCTCCTCCTCCTTCTCCCCCTCCTTCCTCTTCTCCCCCTCCTCCTCCTCCTCCTCCTCCTTCTCCTCCTCATCATCACTCCTCACCAGCTCCCTTCCTCCTATCCCTTTCACCACATTCTTCCGCACACGCGTCCCCACACTCTTCCCCACCACACTCACACCCCCCCCACTCGCCCCTCCTACACTCTCCCGTGCACTCTTCTCCACCCTACCCACTACCACCTCCTTCCCCACTTCCAACAATACCACCAACTCCTCCTCTCCACCCCCATTCCCTCCACCACACTCCACATTCCGCTCCTCCTGCTTTACCCCTCCAAGCTCACCCGCTTCTCTCAGCCGCCGCCTCCTCTCTTCCACCACGGCCAGCCACTGCTCCCTGGTTACTTTCCGTGCTGCTGCCTGTTCCCCTGCTGGCTGCCTCTCTGCCTCCTTTATAGCCCTTCCTATCTCGCAGCTGCCAACTGCAAACCTCTCCTCCAATTCTTCCTCTGCCCCTTCCTTCTCCTCTATTTCCTTCTTCTCCTCCTTCTCCTTCTTCTCCTTCTTCTCCTCCTTCTCCTCCATCTCCTCCTCCTCCTCTGTAATGTCCTCCTCTTCATCCTCATACCCCTCACTCTCTGTGCTTCCTGTTAACACATCAAAATTTTCCCCTTCCAATTCCTCCCCGTCCTCCTCGTCCTCATCTCCATCCTCATACTCGTTAAAATCATCTTCACAAACTCCATAGTCCTCCTCGTCCTGGGTCTCACTGCGAGGAAACGACCATCGATCACCAGAGCTCATCTCCTTAAACTGCACCCTCCGTCTCCTCCTCCCCACGCGCTCCCCATCCCCATCATTATTTTCCTCCTGCGGCCCCGTCCCTCCATTGCCCTCTGCCCCTCTTCTTTCCATACTCCTCCTGCGAAGCCCCTTCACACTCTCCTTCTCGATCTCCTTCCCACTCTCAAGCCCACTCTCATTCTCGCTCGCGTTCCCACTCTCGTCTCCGTCCCTCTCCTTGTTCCCACAGCCATCCCTCCGCACCCTTCCCTCTTCTCTACCACCCAAACCCTCCTCCGTTCCACCTCCCTCCTCCCTTACACCTCCCTTCTCACTCCCCCCCGTGACTGCACTGCCATCACCACCCTCCCCTTCCTCCGCATCCTCCCCAACCGCCTTCAACCGTCCCACCACTCTCCCCCTCCGCCCACTCCCAATCCCACCCACCCCCCCGCCCACACCCCCATCCTCTCTCTCCAAACTAGAGCTCCTCCCCTCCCCTCTCCCCCCCTCACCTCTCCGACCACCACCCCCTATCCCCCCGCCGCCTCTCCCTCTCCTGTCAAGGCTCCAACCTCGCTCCAAACTCCCAACCCTCCCGCCTTTCGCCCCAATGCTTCGCTCATCATCATCCCCTTCCTCGGGAACAAATGGCTTGCCTAGCAGCACAGCCAGAGCCAGTTTCTTGTCTACTTTGGGGCCTCCGTCCATCCTAGATGGGTCCCATTCCCGTGCCTTGGCCCACCCAATCACCATGTCCTTCTCCTTCTCTCCCACCCGCTTTTTCTCACTCACTCCCTGCCTTCTTTCCCGCTTTCTTCCCTCGCCTTCTGCTCCTGCTGCTCCTCCATCCCCTCTCCCCACTCCCCGCACGGAACCACCTCCGTCCACTCGCACGCTCATTCCTCTGCTGCTTCCTTGACTGCGACGCGATTCCCTCCTTTCACTAGCCCCACCCCCACTGCTGTTCCCGTCCCCATTCCCGTCCCCATTCCTGCTCCTGTTCCCGCTTCTGCGTCTTCTTCTTCTATCGCCTGCAATCGGAGCGCCTTTTGCTACATCAGCAGCACCACCATCGTTGCTATAACTGCAGCAATCACTTTCATCCAACCCCTCTGAATCATCACAACTGCTGCCCCTATCTTTCCCATAACCTCTCTCCCTTGCCATACCACCCCTGGTCCTCCCATCCCCCTCTTCCTCCTCCTCCTCATCCTCCTCCTCCTCCTCCTCCTCCTCCCCCTCCTCCTCCTCCTCCTCCTCCTCCTCCTCCTCATCCTCCTCCTCATCACCACCACGTTTCCTTCCTCGCCCCACCTGCCCTCCACTCTTCTGACCCTTCTCCCCCATGCCGCCACCCACCACGCGCACCACGCCTCCCTCACCTATCTCAACACACAGCAACTGCCCCCCTCTACCTCCAAACGGGTTCTGTCTCCCCGACCCAAACGACGCCCCTGGAGAAACACCTGGCGACACACGAAACGACTCCCGCGGCGATACACCCAGCGACCCCACCGACGACGCACAGCTAAAGGAGGGAGACTCCAGCTCTTTCTGTTGTCTCGCGTCTTCATCCACCCCCCTCCCTCCCCTCCCTCCCCTCCCTCCTCTCCCTCCCCTCGCTCCCCTCCCTGCATTCCCCCTTGCACTCAGGCCTGGGCGAGCAGGTACAGGAGCATCATTCAGGGAGGCTTTAGGGGCAGACACAGACCGGCCTATAGACCGCCTATGCTGACTCGCCCACCCCGCTCTACCCTCCCTCTCCGCTGCTACGCTTTTCCCGATTTCCTCCTCCTCAGCCTCCCACTCTCCATCCTCGTCAATTCTCTCTCCTGGTGATCGTACCCCCGGTCGTCTCGGGTACGGAGAAAGCCCGTCGTAGAGGCCTTCTGTGAGAGAAGGGCTGAGGGGGACCAAGGGTGCTGGAACTGGGACGGCGTCTAGGGTTCCCTTGGGGACAGATGCCACTCTCCTATTGGCTAGTAGCTGCCGCCCTGCCTGTAGGATTTGGGCTAGGGAGGGCGACTGGCGAGGGGGCGCTGTGGCAGTGGCAGAAGCAGGGGCAGTGACAGAAGCAGAGGCAGTGGTAGAAGCAGAGGCAGTGGCAGCAGTAGGGGCAGAAGCAGAGGCGGAGGCGGAAGTAGTGGTAGCGGTGGAGGAGAAAGAGGAGGAAGAGGAGGAGGAGGTGGTTATGGGGATGAGGGGCTCAGAGGGCCAGGGAGGGGCGGATGTAGCAGGCATGGCTGAGACAACGGGAACTGCACACAGGGAAGGTGCAGCTGCCGGTGCAGCTGTCGGTGCAGCAGCAACAGTATCACCACCACCGCTACCAGATATAGGTGTTTCTTCTGCTGCTGTGGCTGGAGCAGCACCGCAAGCAGCAGCAGGAGCAGCTGCGGGACATGCAGGAGAAGGAGGAGGAGGAGTAGCATGAGAAACGGCACCAGCAGCAGCAGCAGCAGCAGAGGCAGAAGAGGGACGAGCGGCGGGCACCGGGAGGCGGGAGGGCGGAGTGAGAGCAACAGCATGCAGACTCGGCTTGGGAGCTGACTTCGCTTTCCGCACCACTCGACCTGCCCTCATCTGCTGCTCTCTGCTGCTTCCAGCCGCCACTCCCCCGCCTCCTGCTGCCCCAACCGCCGCTGCTGCCGCTCTTCTTCCCACCCCACCTGGTTTCGATGCCCCTCCTGCCTCTGCCACCCCTGCAGACTGCCCCAAAGCCCTGGCTCTGCTTCTGAAACTGGGTTTCCTAGCGGAAGGGGAATTGGCGGATGGAGAAGGAGCAGACGGAGAGAAAGCAGAGGGGGAACGAGCAGACGGGGAAGGAGCGGATGGGGAAGGAGCAGAAGGAGAAGGAGCAGAGGACGAGGGGGAGGAAGGAGACAAGGGAATGGGCATGGCCATGGGCATGGGTAGGGAACCAGTCTCCAAGAGGGATTTGGAAACAGCAGCTTCTAGCAACGCGCGGGACGCAGAGACAGCTCTCCCTGTGAGCGGGCCGCCATTCGATGCCTCGAGCACTGCTCTGGCAAGCCGGCTAGACATGGCCGCCGCTGCTGCTGTCACCACTGCTGTGGGTGCTCCCGTTGTGGGGGAGAGAAGAGCAGCACCTGAGTTTAAGACATCAGGTGGTGCAAAGACACTTGCTGCTACTCCTCCTGCCGCTGCTGCTGCTGCTGCTGTTGCTACTACTCCGCCTGGCACCCCAGATGATGGTATCAACGATTTCCCTCCAGCTATTCTCCCTGCACCTCCACCCAGCCTTAACACTCCTGGCACTCCTCCTCCTGCCGCTACCGCTGCAGCAGAGGTGGACGGGGAGGAAGCAGCAGAGCCGGCAGACGCCACTGCGACCATGGAATCAGCAACCGACGCAGGAGAAAGCGGCTGCGGGACTGGATACGCGTGAATGCTGGCCTTGGGCGCCTTCTGAGGCGCCTCAAAAGTGGACGGGGAGGAGGCAGCAGAGCCGGCAGACGCCACTGCGACCATGGAATCAGCAACCGACGCAGGAGAAAGCGGCTGCGGGACTGGATACGCGTGAATGCTGGCCTTGGGCGCCTTCTGAGGCGCCTCAAAAGTGGACGGGGAGGAGGCAGCAGAGCCGGCAGACGCGACTGCCACCATGGAATCAGCAACCGACGCAGGAGAGAACGGCTGCTGAGGGACCGGGTAGGCGTCAATGCTGGCCTTGGGCGCAGATACTGACTTGCCGAGACCACGCCTCCTGCTGCTGCCGTGGGAAAGCCTAGGCGGGTAACCCTCATCCCTGGATAAATCTCTAGCTGCATCTTTACATGCCCGCTCACCAATTAACCCAACACCGATACCACCAGCGGCAGCAGCAGCACCACCACCACCGCCGCAGCCCTCACCAGCACCACTATCAAATCGCCCTCCGGCACGCTTTCCCTGACCTTTCCCCCTGCCTTTCCCCACCGCCGTTCCCCTCCCAGACTCCACACCCACAGCCCCTCTCCCTCCACCCTTCAACCCCCTTCCTCCACCCATAAGCGCCAGAGAAAGCGCCTTGGGCTCGGTATGACACGTGCTGCTTCTCAGAAACTCCTTGGCCAACCAACTCGTGTTCAGACTAGCCGGATCGGAGGATTGAGCCCGGTACAGCCCTGCCATACCGCTCCCCTCCCCCACCACCGCTTCCGCTGAACCTGCTGCTACTGCTGTGGTGTCTTGTAGAGAGCTCTGCGGCATCCCTGCTGCTGGGTCATGAGTCTGCGCGCGAGGGATGGGTTCAAGCCTCCCTGGTGCGTGAAGGGACGAGGCTGGCTGTGGGGGAGGCGCTCCCACACAAGTTGCTGCTGCTGCTGCTGGCCCTGCTGCTGACCCTGGTGCTGGCCCTGCTGCTGGATTGCCATTTGCCTCACTGCTGCCCAACATGCCAGACTCTCGAGTCACAGCAGCATCACCTGCAGCAGCAGCAAACCCCCGCCCAGCAACTATCCTCATGCCAGCTTCAACTGCCGCCGGCTCTTCCTTAAACCTAACCCGTGCCCCCGGACCTGCTGCCGAACCTGCTCCCGAACCTGTCCCCACTGCTGCGGCTTCTGCGGCTGCTGCGCCTCTCCTGGCCCTCAGAGCAGCTGTTTCCAGTCTCGACAGCGAGCCTGACTTGGGAAAGGCATCAGTGGCAGCAGCACGCGATGCAAGCCGTGCCCTGGCCGCACCACCGCCACGGCACGGGCCCGAGGGGCTGTGTACAAGCGGCGACGGCCCCTTGAGATTCGGATTCCTCCAGTCCCTGGGGCTGGTAAACCCTGACATGGAGATGGAGGGACCGCCACGACCCTTGGGGCTCGCGTGGGATGCACGGGCCGCAGCATGAGGGCTGTGGGGACTGCGGGGGCTGTGGGGGCCGTGGGGGGTGTGGCTGGAGCTGATAGCGCGCATCACGTGCTCTGGCGGTGGCTGGTACAGGTCTCCCTGCTCTAACTCCCTCAGGGAGATAGGCCCTGGCCCTGACGCACGCTCAGGAGGAACGGCGGACACAGCAGGTGCGAGTGTGCGCTTACAAGCTGTGGCTGAGGCTTCGAGAACACCACTGCTGTCAAAAGCCGCAGCAGCATTTGCAGCAGCAGCAGCGTCTGCTTGGGGACTCTCGTCTTGAAAGTGGAAGTTATCCTCCTCATCCTCGTCCTCATCCTCCTCACTATCAACCCCACCGTAACCGCCATCCCTACCATCCTGTAGAATAGTGGACGGCCCACCAACGCTTTCTCCATGGCCTCCTGGGCCTTCTAGGCCTTGCGTAGCCATGTCACCCCCATTTTTCACTATTGGAACTGACCCAGCAGCAGCAGCAGCAGCAGCAGCTGCTGCTGCAGAAGCAGAAGCAACCGGCCCAACGGTCAGGCGATTACGTGGCACCACGCCATTGGCTCTCTGCTTCTCCAGCAGCAACAGCAGCAGCTGCTGCTTCTGCTGCTTCTGTTGCTTCAAGCTCACCTCACGCCGCTTCTCCAGCAGTCCCTTCTTCGCCTGCCCCAGTCCCTTCTGTACTGTCTGTTTTCGCTTCTGCTGCTGCTGCAGCTCCAGCAACCGAGTCTGCTCCTGCTGCCGCCACTCCTGCTCCTCGCGTTCCCTCTCGCGCCATTGCTCTCTGTCCTCCGCACTCCACGCCTCTTTCCTCGCCTCCACCACCCGCCGTCGCTGACGACTCGTTGCCGACGCCTGGTTACCCTTATCGCCTCGCCGCTGGTTACCACCTCGAGCATTCGCCGGACCAGGTTCGACGGGTCCCGGTCCTGTGCGGTGGATCGCGGTGCTCGACGCTACCAGCTGCTCCTGGCTGTACCCGTGCCGGGGACCCATATCCTCGACATTAGCAGCAGCATTACTAGCAGCGGTAGCATTAACAGTAGTACCAGGATCAGCAGCAGCAGCAGCAGCAGCAGGAGCGGAAGTAGCAGTAGTGGCGGCATACACTTGCGAAAGCCGTAGCTGGTTACTTTCGCGAAGCTCGCTGCCTCTGGAAGTATCCTCTGGGAAGTAGCGCTGGTTCTGCTGCTGCACTCGAATATCTCCCCTCGGCATATGGCTAATCTACGGTGGAACAGCGCAGGAAACGATCCAACGGCCAATAAACACACTTCCGCTGAATCGGACTTCTCGTGGAGTCATTTATGGGTTTCCCGATAAGAGCGCGAAGGAACACGGTCGCCTAGAAGAGCACTGGTTGCAAGGCCGAGCGATGCGGTGAGAAGGGTTTTCCGCAACAGGAGCAGCAACAGCGGCAGAAGCAGCGCCGTACGCGTTTCTTCACCGTTACCATGGACATTGCGAAGTTGTATTCCGAGCAAACGAGGCGAGAGGGTACGAGAATCTTGAGGGAAGGAATATGCAGAAAGAAGGAAACAGGAACGGCGCGGGCGAAAGACGCTACGGCGAAGAAACGCTAGGGGGGGGAACCTCCTCGCTTGGTTGGTTTGGTTGGAGCTAGCTTACCCGACGCCGCATTGTATGGCTGCGAAACCTGCTGGGATGAACAGAGGAACAACAGGATGTTGATAAGGGCTTGTGCTTGGGTTTCTGTTGGGTTCCTCACGTTTTAGCACGGTAATTGAGCATCACCGTTTTGTATCGTAGCACTCGCGGAATACCATGATCGACTGTATCGTTTGTGGGTGACGCGAAGCCAAGTGCTCGAATCATGATGGTGCGGTTTGGTGAAAAGACCTTGCGCGACAGAGTGGTTCGTGTACATTTCAGAACGGTTGGGTACAGGTTTGAGCAGAAATGAACTTGGGGATGTTACGGCAAATACCAAAGCATTACTACCCATTACCATGCCAAAGCATTGTTACTCCTTCAGATCTTATGTCAGAAATGGACTTCTGCATCCAATCACAAATTGGTTGCTATAACGGGGTGGAGCAACAACAGCGTGTTCTCTGCTCAGCCATCCGTTCTCACTTCCACATCCTCGTTTCTGGTTCCGACAAGCCCAGTGTGTGTAGTCCAAAGGACCACGCCGTCAAGCACGCATTCTTGTCGATCCGCTCATAAGGTGAACAGACACGAAGAAAGCTCCCTTCCATGAAGCTTTTCTCGCAATCCAGAATCTCGTGTTGGCGAAGTCCTTCGCGACAGCAGTAGCGAGTATCGCGACCCCTGCGCCTCGCACCGCTGCTACCCATCCATGGCGGCCGCGTCGCTTCTCGACGAGATCGCGGACGAGCTGCAGGCATTAGAGGCCGTCTACCTCGACGACGTTCACGTGCAGGCGGAGAATGCGGAGATTTCGACCTCCGAACAGACCGAAGCACCATCAGCGAAGGGAGGGGAAGGGGTGGTGGTGAGGATCAGCGTGGCGTTGAAGCCGCAGACGGGCGAAGACGCGACGCAGCAGTTCGTGGAGGCCACTGCCGTGCTGCTCGTCTCCCCACAGGTCGCCATCTCCAACTTCCTCTCCAACTTCCTCTCCAACTTCCTCTCCATCTTCCTCTCCAACTTCCTCTCCATCTTCCTCTCCATCTTCCTCACCATCTTCCTCGTCCTCATCTTCTTCCTATTCCTTTGCACATACATCCTCATCTTGCCATGACCATGGATCGTTTCTACTGGGAGGAACTTCCTTTTGCCTTGCCTCCACCTCCACTCCACACCCGTTCCCTTCCCTGGACCGTCTCTTATCGTTTCTCGCTCTGTCAATGGTCGAATCTCGGCCCTCCTTGGTCCAATACCATTCCGCCCGCCTCCCCTCCCATTGCAATGGACCCTCCCACGTCGGGTCTCTTCCGCTCAAACTCATTTCTCTCCCCCTATGCCTGCCCGCCCGCTGTATCCGGGATCCCCCTGCCAACCTCTCCACTCTTCCCCTTCAATCTCCCCGTTCGCTGTGGCACCCTTCACCCCCACCCTCCCCTTCTTTGCGTCCTTCCTTTCCCCGCCGCGCCCGCCCCTTCCCCGCAGTACCCCCTGTCCCCAGCAGTGCTGAGCCTGAGTGCAGTGAAGGGCATGAGCGACGAGCGCGTGGCGGAGCTGCTTGCGCGCGCCAGGGCGTGGCTGGCGGACGCGCTGGGGCCGGGGGAGCCCATGCTGCTGGCCGCGTGCGAGGTGTGACGATACACGTAGCCCTGGGGAGGGGGAGGGGGTAAAAGGGGGGGATGTTCAGGTGTCGGGGAGAGGGGGAAGGGGGGGAAAAGGAGTGGGGAAATGGGTGTAGGACCGAGTGGGAGGGAAAGGGAGGGAGGGTAAATGAGGAGGTTGTATGTCTTGTGAGGGTATGTTATGAAATGGGGATAACATTTCCATGAAAGCACTGAGTACTCACATGCATGCAATGGCCGCTCCCTGTCTTTCTTGCTTCTTCTCCCAGTTGCTTCTTCTCCCCGCGTTTAACATCAAACGTCAACCCTGTGGTCTGTGGCAGCAAGTGAAGGAGCTTCTAACAGCGATGAACGAGCCTTCTGGGTGCTGCTGCTTCTGCCTCGATCCAATGACTTCCACCGCCACTTCTTCATCTGCTGCTGCCTCGAATCATCCCATCAATGCCAGCAGCAGCACGGCTGGCCTTCCCCTGCTGTTCAAGCTTGGAGTCTGCTTCCATTGCTTCCACTCGTATGTGCCTCCTGCGTTCTTTCACCTGGACTGTGGATCCTGCTGTAAGCCGCTTATGAGTGTGTGCATGATACGGCTTGCCTGTACCTCTGCGCTGCTGTGTGGTGTGGATCCTATTGTAAACCGCGGACCACAACACCAGTTCGGACCTCATGCCTCCCCCGCTATCATGCTCTCTCACGCTCGTCTGAAGCCATTTCCTTGCTTCTCATCTCACCTCCTCCCCCCGTCTGTCCCTTCTCCCACCTTCTCCAGTCAGTGCATAAGGCAGTGGTGGCAGTGGGAGCTACAGCAGGCGAAGGCCAATGAAGCTGAAATGCGGAGATGCAACCCACATATTGCAGTTCCCAAGGTGATTACAGCCAGCCAGAAGGGGAGGCCCAAGTCCATCCCAACCCTACCCAACCCATGCTTTTGGCCCTCGTTTCTCGCATACGCACTTGCACGCTTTTCTTTCCTGCCATTTCTTCTCTACTCGTCTTTCAGGCCTGAATCGTCGTGAAGAAAATCAGCAGTCTCGCAGTCCACGCACTTTCCTTCACATGCTCATTCCCCGTCACTGCGTTCAACTCTCTCCTCTGCTCATCCCCTGTGCCCCTAAACCAGCCATCCTTCAGCTGCCCCATCTGCCGCTCCACCCTGGCAGCAGACGACATCGCTCGCCTCGATAACCTCCTCGCCTCCTCTCCTCCCTCTCCTCCGTCCACATCGTCTCTCCCAGCCTCCACCGCTCCAGAATCTGAGTCAGGGCCGTCACTAGCGTCATCAGCAGCAGCGGAGACAGCAGAGGTAACAGAGGTGCTATGTGCAGAGGATCAGGTTGAGAGGAGGAAGCAGTTTGAGGCTGTGTGGCAGCGGCAGCAGCAGCGGGGAGGCATCATAGAGCCTCGCTCAGTGCTGGACAGCAGTGCAGCAACCCATGGAGGTCAACAGTCACTTCAACAGCACTCACATGGTCGCCTCCAGTCTTCACAACCCGCTTCTCAGCATTTTCCAAGCTCCCAACCTGTCGAAGCATCCGCTGCTGTCGCGTCTTCTTCTCCTCCTCCTCCTCCTGCTCCTCCTTCTTCCTCTTCTCCCTCGTCTGTTCCAGGTGAAGCTGCTGATGCTACAGCAGCTCCTGCAGTGGACTCTACGCAAGCAGGCGCAGGCGGTGCTGGGTCTGCAGCAGCAGCAGCAGAACCGTGCTCTGGCGGGCTAGTTCTCTTCCCAGCACTGCGCCTTGACCCCTCGCCTCCAGACAGCGTCTCTTGCAACCTGCCTGGATCTGTATCTGTACCGCATAGCGAGCCTGGGTCGCTTTCCGGGTCAGGTGAGATTCCAGGTGGGGGTTTTTGTTCTGTGGGTCGTGGACAGGGTAGGTATGGGGAGCGAGGGAGAAGAGGGCGAGGGGGGAGAGAAGGACGGGGAAGTTGGAGAGGAGGGAGTGGAGGAAGGTTGCATGGGGGAGGTGGAAGAGGAGGAGGAGGAGGGGGAGGAGGAGGAGGAGGAGGAGGAGGAGGAGGAGGAGGAGGAGGAGGAGGAGGAGGAGGAGGAGGAGGAGGAGGAGGAGGAGGAGGTGGTGGTGGTGTGGTGGTGGTGGTGGAGGAGGAGGCTTTCATGAAGGGGGGAGAAGGGAAGGTGGAGGGCGGTGGAAAGGAGGAGTTGACAGCAGAGAAAAGGGATGGGGAGAACAGGAAGGGAGGGGACAGCAAGAGAGTCGTGGCCGAGGGGGGCAAAGAGGAGGTCGCTTTGAAGAGAACAGTGGAAAGGGTGGGGAAGGGGCCGGGGGAAGAGGATATGGGGGCAGGAGAGGCTCGCGTAGGGGTCGAAGGGGTGATGGGCATGGGGGGATGCATGGAAGAGGCGGCAGGGGGAGGGTGATGAAAGATGGGGAGCTTGGGGGAGGCAGAGATGGTGAAAGGGGTGGAAGTGGGGGTGGGGATGTGGATGGGTACGGATCTGTGGCTAGGAATGGTGTTGTGTAGGCAAGGAGTGGAGATGCGGCAATGGGTTCGAGCGAGGGGCATGCTTTAGTGCGATGCGATGATGTTGGAAGTACCCCCCCCCGACCATCCGAGGATGGTTGGGATGGGATGAGCAATAGATGAGACAGACAGCCTGCCTTCTGTGCATTCGACCGAGTGAGAGGTTTGCTCCTTGAAGGATTGTGCGGGCACAGGCAGGATAGAGCGGAAGTAGGTACCACGAGTAATTGTGCATTGGATTTAAATTTTATGCAACACCATGGAAGGAACTGTACAATGCTGTGTGCACTCTGCTGAATGTTTTGCCTCAGCAGTGTTGCTGAATGTTTCCTCAGAACTGTTTGTGGGATTTTGAAAGGTGGAGTGGTGAGTGGGGGGACAGCCCATTTCTTTAACCTGATCCTGATCTTTCAAACCTAAATCCGCTTTAGCTGCTCAATTCCATGTGTGTGCAATGTAGAAAGCGCTGGTAGTCAAGCTTTGCTCTTTGTTCATTGGTGCACTTAGCACCATCATCTCTTATGTAATTAACGGTTTCTGTGGCGGCGTCGGGTCGCATCGCATTGCTTATGGGAACTTCAACTGGGCAGCAAAAAGCTGCTGTGCTGCTGACGCGTGTGGTCTTATGTACTGGCCCCACCCTGTGGTACACCCTCATTCGCAGTCTACGCACAATCGGGAGCAGCGACAACAGTGTTGTCAGGTAGCGTCTCTGTGCTTGTGGCCGAACCCCCTAATGTTGCCAGGCACACCATGCACCAAGCGCCAAAACAGTAACATTCGAAACGACTTGTTCACTTTGTCCTACACTGTGGCCAAAGATTCCACATCAAAACACACAAGAAACAGACAATTCCTAACACAGGTTCAAAACACATACAGAATATCTACGTTCGGTAGAAAGGGGTAACGTATGGTAGAGCGAAAAGCAACGGCAGCCAACCACACATGTGAGCGTTCTGTACACTTCCTGCCAGTCAAAGTCAACAGCTGCATTACCAACGTGGCAGTCGTGATTGTGCTTGTAGAGTATGTGCATGCACCATTCTAGGCACGTTGCAGTCACTACAAGCGTTCGGTGCATGTGGCGATTGTGCACAGACTGAGAATGAGGGTGTACTGGAAATCGGAAAATATCGTTTCAGCATCACAAACCCTGCCATTCGTTCTTTGCTGACAGCACCTCGAAGCTCGATGGAACCACCAATAGAGGCGAGAAAACAAGTGCTGTGTTGGTGCAGAGACGTCACGCCACGGCTTATGGGTCGGGTTCAGCACGTGACCTCGGGCGTTGCGCACACGCAGATTCTCGGGCGTTACAAGGTCAGCCCCTCAAAAGTACTGCCCTGCCAGCTCCTATGGCACAAATGTACAGCAGATATGAAAAAGGGTTGTACAGAAGGCGAGAAAAAGGGCATTGCGATTCATATTCACTGTGCAAACAAAAGTTTTACAACACTACAACCGTGTGCGTATTTTTTCTGTTCTGTGAAGGCAACCAGTGTTTCGTTTTTCTCTCGCCGTCACGTGTGTGATATGAGCCTGAGCAGTTGGGAGAAGCTGCCTTATCAGGAATGTTTTGTGATTGCGTGGCACATGTCAGCTTCCACCCACCACGCACGCAGTCATTCTCCCCCAAACCATTTTACAAACGAGTTTCCCTTTGCTACCTACGAAATGGATTCTTCCCCACTAGGTTCACATCACCAAATGGGAGGAGGTTTGTGCAAGTCCGTCCAGTTTCGTCATTTGCAATCATGTTAAAGGCCACTCTGATTATCCAGGTCCGGAACACGCTCTTATCAGCCTTTTTAAAGCAATGTGTATACAGAAACTCCAGAAGTGAGGGCGATGTTTGAAGTATCAGAAAGAATATACAAACCAGCGTAAATAGCCTACCATAAATGTCCAAGCACCATCCGCTCCGCTGTTCAACAGAAGATTCTGAAAGAAAGTTGCTCGAGGGGCCTCGTGCCTGGCCACACTGCTCTCTGTTGTGCTTGCTTGGTTGTGTAGCGTTTTGGTAAGCGCCAGGAACTTTTGCTCTACTTCCATGCTGACCGCAAATTACTTGTGGGCAGTGTACGCCTTCAAATCAACATGGTCCCAACCGCTGCAGTTTTGGCGCCTGCCGCTGCCAGACTTCCCTCTTTGCACTTCGCTGCCTGGAAAAAAAAAAACAAAGACGAAATCCCCGTATAGTGAAATATGCACCTTATTTCCCGCCAAAGAAATGTCATAGCATGTTTCACAAGACTGCCAACGACCGAAGGCTGCGATTCTAGTCAAAACTCTCTGTTTGGCTCGCGAGCCAGCTTCCCCTGCAAGCACTGGGCTGGAAATTCTCGGATTCAGAACGGCCCCCACCTCCGCCCTCCCCACCGTCCGTCACCACTTTTCGTGTTTCTCCTGCGGCTCCTCCAGTGCAACCATCTGGCCTGTCCGCTCAGCCATTCTGAAGCTGCAAAGCGATTTCTCAGCTCACGAAATTTGATAACACGGCAACCGCCCCCATTCAGCAAGCCAGCTTGCCGTTTTCCAACCTCATCCACCGCGGTGAAAGTTGGCGCCACTTGCATGTCTTTCTTTCAAGAGTCGTCTGCAGCGTTCGCTCGCCTTGCCAGAAGACAGTAGTGACAGTAGCAGCAGCTCCGGCGAAGGTGGCTCATTTCCAGCTGCGGCAGTCAATTTTATTCATCAACTCCTCCGAGCTCCCTCCATCCCATCGCTCAACTCCATCCCACCCAGCTCCTCCATCCCAGCTGAAGCCACTTTTTTTTCCGCTTGAACATTATCCATCTGTAATTGTCGCACGCGAAACGCGCCTGAGCCGTTACTTCCCAGCAAGCTTTCGGTCCAGCAAGCACACTCGGCCAATCCATGAAGTGCTGGGTCATTGTTTTCCTCTTCTAAAACGTCCACGCGGCTTAATTCGTGCGAAGAACCGCGCAGCCGCGTCGGCTATACTCCTCAGAGCGTCGCTCGCCGTTGAAACGGAGCACAAGCAACCCTAACCCACGCTGCCACCAAGAGTAAGGTCGAAAGAGCGTTCGAGCGTGAAGACTCATGGGCCGCCGGCGGTCTCTTCGTCACCGCGCGTTCATCCTGTCGCAGGGCCGCACGCGACTCGTGGAACCGGACGAATCGTCGCATGGCCATTCGGAGCACGACAGGAACGACGGCGGCGCGCAAGTGCCGCTGCTGCCGCCTCCGTCAACTCCGTTCCCGTACAACGTCACCGGCGCCAACGGCACCAACTCGTTCAACGAAACGCGTGTCGCTTCCGGAACAACATCAGGGAACAGCAGCAGCAACAGTCGCGACCGCCATAGCGGCGACGGCGAAAGCCACGACAAAGACGCCGACCATCCTTATCCAAAACCCGATCATGATGGTGACGGGACTTCCGCCAATTCCGATTCCAATTCCGGTTCCTCCTCGCCTCTGCGCGTCGTTTCCGAAGTCGCGCTGTCGGGAGTTATCGTCGTTCTCGTCGTCGTCATCATCTTCGTCGCCTTCCGTCGCATTCGCTGGCAAATCGCGCGAATCTCCGGCCGGCGTCGCCGTCGCGGCAACCCTGCGAACGGCGTCGGGCCGAACGGCGAACCCGGCGCCGTCGACGGCGCTGGCGCCCGATGCCCCACGTGCCGCGGACTGGACAACGCTGCTATCGACACGGTGGGACCCGTGCTAGTTTATGGGAAGAACCCGCTGTGCTTAGGGGGGAGCGCGGGGGGATTGCACGGCGAGGGGAAGGGGAAGGCGGAGGAGGCGGACGTGGATTGGTGCTCTTGCGGGTCTTCAGTGAATGGGAGGGCGGACGAGGAGGCGGACGGGGGGAAGGGAGAGGAGTGCGGTGATTCGGAGGATGGCGCGGTGGAAGGCGCGGAAGAGGGGGCGGAAGAAGGCGCGGAAGTGTGCGCGGAGGATGTCGCAGAGGATGTCGCAGAGGGTGCCGCAGCGGCTGCCGCAGCGGCTGTTGCAGCGGATGTCGCAGCGACTGTCGCAGCGGATGTCGCAGAGGATGCCGCAGAGGATGCCGCAGAGGATGTCACAGAGGATGTCGCAGCGAATCTCGCAGAGGAAGTCGCAGAGGATGTCGCAGAGGTCGCAGAGGATGTCGCAAAGGGTGGCGCGGAGGAACGAATAAACAATGCAGTGCCTGTGGTTGTGAGCGAAGGTGACGAAGGGAAAGGAGAATTGGAGCAAGCAAGGGAAGGAGAGGAAGAAGAAGCACGTGCCGTGAGCGATGGGAAGGAGGGACGGCGTGGCGAGGAAGATGGGCACAGAGAAGGAAAGGCGGCAGCAGTAGAGGTTGGATCGAGCATGCGAGAGGATATGGACGAGTGGAAGACCGAGATGCGGAACGAGCGGGAATTGCGGGACGAGCGGGAGGAGCGGAAGGCGCGGAGGGAGCGGAAGGAGCGGAAGGAGCGGAAGCAGAGGAAGGAGCGGAAGGAGCGGGAGGAGCGGAAAGAAGGGAAGGAGCGGGAGGAGCGGGAGGTGCCGGAGGAAGACGTGTGGATCGAGGATCCAGCGCACTCCATCTCGATACCCATGACGGTGGATGCCACGTGGCTCACGGAATGCGCCGTGTGCCTTTGCGAGTACGAGGAGGGCGACGTGCTAAGGTCCCTCGACTCCTGCCACCACATGTTCCACCAGGTATTGCCCCCTCTCTCCCCCCCCCCCCCTTCCCTTCCTTCTCTCACCACCACCACCTTCCCCTCCAATCCCGTTTCCGCCTCTTCCCTCGTCTGTCCCAACCCTCCATTCCCACATTCCCCTCACTACCCAGTTTCCCCGCCTCCCCCTGCTCCTCCTGCCCCCCCCCCCTCCCTCCCGTTCCTCTATTTTCCCCTCCTGCATTTCCCTTGCTCATCCTCCCTCAACCTGCTCTCAGCTCCCCCTCCCTCTCCACCCTCCGCCATGCACCCCGCGCTCTCTCCCTCGCCCTCCACACCCCCCCCCCCCCCAGACGTGCATAGACGAGTGGCTGCACACCTGCGGGTCCTGCCCACTCTGCCGCTTCTCTTTCACCGCCGAGTTTTGATACGTCTCAAAACCTCCCCCCCCCAAATCACCCTCCTCCCCCCCTCCCTCCTCTCCAGACGTGCATAGACGAGTGGCTGCACACCTGCGGGTCCTGCCCGCTCTGCCGCTTCTCCTTCACCGCCGATCGCCCGCCGCCGCTCCTCGCCTCCTCCTCAGCCGGCGCCGCCACCTCGCGCACCGAGATCAGCATGAGCGGGCCGCTTACCACCACCGGAAGGGAGTCCTTCAGCGGGCCCATCAGCAGCAGCCTGAGTGGCCCAATCACTGCCGGCACGTTCAGCGGGCCTTTGAGCCGTTCAATCAGCGACTCGCAGAGCGGCCCTTTGAGTGTGACTGGAGTGCCGGTGCCGGGACGTGCAGCCCAGCATGCGAGTGCGGCGCTGGGCGGGGCTCTTTCTGCAGGCGAGGAGCACTCGGAGGAATCGCACAGCGGCGCTGCTGCTGCTGCCTCGTCGTCATATGGGTCGTCGACAGCCACTTTCTCGTCTTCCTATGCGTCCAATGGCTCCTGGGCCTCTACTGCTGCCTCTTCCACCTCTGCCTCCGCCTCCACCTCTGGTTCTTCCTCTGCTGCATGGTTCATGCCCACTCTCGGCCTTTCTCCTCGTGGGGCGGGCGCTGGTTCGCGAGCCGGGGTTCCCTTTGGATGGCTCGGCCCGCGCGGTGAGGCCTCAGGATCGGGAGCAGGTTCGGGAACAGCAATAACGGCGTCGGTGTCTAGTGGAGGCGATGCAGGAGCAGTGGTGCTGGAAGCAGTGGCAGAGGATGGAGAGGAGGTGTCATCATCCGCTTACCTGTCGGGGCCGCTTTCGTATAATAGCGGGGTTGTGCACACTCAGAGGCTTGACCGAAGGCGGAGATCGGCTGATGGTGCGTTGGGATCAGCAGCTGCTGGAACGGCAGCAGCAGGCAGGGCAGGTGGAGCAGGCGGAGCAGGCGGAGCAGGAGAAGCAGCGAGAGAGGAAGCAGAGGAGCACGAGCACCATGGGCACCACCGATGGGAGCACATGCGTGAAAGCCTGAAGGAGGGCATGAAGTGGTTCATGATGAGCGACAGGGAGAGGGAGGGATGGGACAATGATGACACCGACTATTACTACTCATGGTGATGATGCTGTTACCAAAATGGTTACCAACATGGTTACCAGTGCGGTAGCTAGCCACTGGCACTGCCACTGGCACTAGTTCAATGACCCCTCCTGTGGGAGGGTGGAAGAGTTTTTGCATGTTTTTTTTGTTTATTTGTGGCGCTTCACAATGAAAGATGCGCCACGCCATGTGATGCTTTCGGCAGCATATCTTTGCAGTGTGCTTGCTAGGTGTTGGTTAGGTAGGCCTGTCTGCCAGGCATGCTTCTGGCGTGCTTGTAGGATGCAAATAAACGTTGAATTGAATCCACGTGCTGTGTGGGAATTGTTGGATAAGCGTTGGAGCATGAACAGTAATTGGCCAACACGTCAGGCAATCAATTCACTTGCAGTGGCAGCGTCACTACCGTTTCAATTCAGGTGCATTACCAATTCGATCCAGTTGTTAAAAATAGAGTCATCCAGGTTAGTTGCAGTCTCTATTCACTTTGCACAGTTATCCCCGGTTCAAGAGCCATAATCAAGACAACAAGATGGATGTTGGAACAGTGCACCCATTAGTAACAATCTGGCACCAAACAGGATTGTTTACAGAGTCACGGCCAGAGTCACTTAGGAGGGGAGAGAGACACCTCGCCAGGGTGCGGGCAGTGTGTGGAGGAGAAGAAGAAGCAGCGGTCCACGGGCACCTGATCCTCCTGCACACACTCTGCCAGGTGAAACCCTATCTTGGCCAGCCCTGTCACGTACTTCTCCCTCAGCTTCGCCCCGCCCGCAGCGTCAGGGAATGCGAGCAGCAGTTGGCAGATGGGAGGGGGGGTGCGTTTTACCACCCACTGCTGCACGGACGCTAGGTGCGCCCCGGTGAGGGACAGCTGGGCGAGGGTGGTGGGAGAGCAGGAGGCCGGAGGGGCGGAGAGGGAGGGGAGGAGGGGCATTACTTTTGAAAAGTGCCAAAAGGAGTGTGTTTCACTACCCACTGCTGCACGTCAGTCTGCTGTGCACGTCTGCAGTGCATTCCGGTACATGAGCTGAGCTAAACTGCAGCCTGCACGCGTGTGTACGTGCGTGTGTGTGCGTGCGTGTGTGTGCGTGCGTGTGTGTGCGTGCGTGTGTGTGCGTGCGTGTGTGTGTGCACATGTGTGGGTGTGCATGTGTGTGTGTGTGCATGTGTATGTGTGTGTGTGCGTGTGCAAAGCATGTGAGGGTACCTTGAGTATGTGCATGGGGGATGTGGGCGAGGCAGGGAGGAGGTCCAGGTGCTGCACGGACAGGCCTGGCACCGCTTCCTCCATTGCGCTCTCCCATGCCGTGTCATCCACGCCCTCATTCATCGCAAACACCTGGCTGCACTTGAGAGAAATGCACGCATGCAGAGCAAGCAAAGGGATTTTAAAAAGCATCCTCGCTCATTGCAAACACCTGCCTGAAGTTGAAAACCGTGCACACGCGTGGGAAGAGAAATAAGCAAGGAAGAAAGCATACATGGATGCAGAGGCACAAATGTGAGCAGGCATGCACGCACACGAATGCATGGCCAGATGCGAAAATATAAAAGGAGTGGGGTGTGTGTGCAGGGATGAACGGGAGGGGAACAGGGTCGAAAGAGGGGGCCCATGGAGGGTTTCCTGATCGGAAGATGAAAGGCAGGCGCACAATCCCACCTCAAGCCCACCCAGAAACCCTATGACTTGAGCCTACCTCCTCTTCGGCCCTCACCCTCGTTCCTCATCCCTCGCCCCTAGCCTCTGGCCCCTAGGCCTTTCCCCCTCGCCCCTCACCCCTAGCCCCTCACCTGGCGTTGGTGAGTGGTTGCAGAGCAGTGGGGAAGGAGCGGCCCTCGCCGCCCAGCTTGACCATGGGCCCTAGACTCATGCGCACACACACCGCCTCCGGTGCTGGCCCCTGCCATGCCTCCGCCATCCGGGTCATCTGCTATGACAGGCGGGGAGCAGGATGGGAGAAGAATCACACTTGGGGACGTGAGGGGAGATACATGCCGATGCGGGATGGCAAGGTGGGAATAGACGGCGCGGGGTGAGAGGGGTGTGGGGAGAGGAGGAGGAGGAGGAGGAGGAGGAGGAGGAGGGAGGAGGAGGAGGAGGAGGAGGAGGAGGAGGAGGAGGAGGAGGAGAGGGAGGAGGAGGAGGAGGAGGAGGAGGAGGAGGGAGGAGTAGAATCACTCATCATCAGCCAAAGCAGCAGCAGCATGACGCTTTGACACAAGAGCGTGAGAGAGAGAGGGGAGTGAGAGAGAGAGAGAGAGAGAGAGAGAGAGAGAGAGAGAGAGAGAGAGAGAGAGAGAGAGAGAGACGATAGAGAGAGAGGAGAGAGAGAGAGAGAGACCTACGGGTACCCCTCAGCTGGAGTCCTCGATTTCCTTCGCAGCTGCGCGGAGCTAGCGGCAAAGCGGCGGTTCAACGCCTCACCAAAGTCGAGGGAGGCGGCGAAACTACTCACCGAGTACCGCCAGCGCTGGAGCGTGACCCTGCAGAGAGCCCAAGCCAACGCCCTCAGGGATAAGACCCATGAGGCACTTACCGCGGATGTGCTGGGCCTGCAAGGTCCATTCACTCCACTGAGCGAGGACCAGCTGTACCAGTTGGTAGAAGACCCCTCCGGCCACTAGGGCCGGAAGGGGAGAGGGGCGGCAGTAGAAGTGACGGGGTAGGGATTTGATATAGTAGCTTTGCTATGTGTGGTTTGCTGCTTTACTTTGTACCTTGGTGATATTCATACGACGGACCGTTCGAGAGAGAGAGAGAGAGAGAGAGAGAGAGAGAGAGAGAGAGAGAGAGAGAGAGAGAGAGAGAGAGAGAGAGAGAGAGAGAGAGAGAGAGAGAGAGAGAGAGAGAGGAGAGAGAGAGGTTACCTTAGCCCTCTGCCCTCTGCTCAACCCTCTGCCCTCTGCCCTCCCGGCCTATTTAAGGGCTGCTTGTGCTGGCTTCTCTTCATTATTTCGTTGTGGTTTCATTTTCGGCGGCTCGCGCCAGAGAGAGAGAGAGAGGTTACCTTAGCCCTCTGCCCTCTGCTCAACCCTCTGCCCTCTGCCCTCCCGGCCTATTTAAGGGCTGCTTGTGCTGGCTTCTCTTCATTATTTCGTTGTGGTTTCATTTTCGGCGGCTCGCGCCAGAGAGAGAGAGAGAGAGGTTACCTTAGCCCTCTGCCCTCTGCTCAACCCTCTGCCCTCTGCCCTCTGCCCTCCCGGCCTATTTAAGGGCTGCTTGTGCTGGCTTCTCTTCATTATTTCGTTGTGGTTTCATTTTCGGCGGCTCGCGCCAGAGAGAGAGAGAGAGGTTACCTTAGCCCTCTGCCCTCTGCTCAACCCTCTGCCCTCTGCCCTCCCGGCCTATTTAAGGGCTGCTTGTGCTGGCTTCTCTTCATTATTTCGTTGTGGTTTCATTTTCGGCGGCTCGCGCCGGCGGCCTTCGGCCGCGCGTTTCGGGTGACAAGACAGTCACACAAGATCACGACTACTTGAAGCACACACAAGACAAGCCAGCAGGGAAAACGAGCAGAAAGGGAGACAACATGCAGTTCTACACGCGGCGACGCGCTACTGCGTGTACAAGCCAGCCCCCTCCGCCTCAAGCATCGAGAGAAGGCACCCCGCCATCGCATGGAGGAGCTCCGCCAAGAAGCGGAGAGTGTCAACCGGGGTCCCGCCCTGAGCCGCCGCGTGAAGATCAAGCGCGAGGCGGGGGAAGGTACGGGCTAAGGGCGCTACCCCGGCGGGCGCTTCCGACACGGGCGATAAAAGGGGGAGAATCGCTGCTGCCCAAGAGACGCACTGTCCTTGGGGCACTTGAGCAAAACTGCTCGGTGTGTGACGCATGGCCTCACACGCCGCCAGCTGCAAGCTCGCCACCCCCTCTGCAGCCCCCGCCAAGTTCCACATCCGGCACATGCTCAGCGTGGGGTCTCTCCCCGCGCGGCTGGGGAGAGGTGCAGTCGGAATACCGCGGGGCGGAAGCACCGCCACCTGTTCTGGAGCTCGGCCAAGGGAATTCAGAGGAGCTGGGTAACCAGGGGCCTGGCGGCGTCCGCGGAACGGGCCCCCCCTCCCCACTGCTGCTGGCAGATACTCGCGCAGAGTCGGCGCGCGCAACGGAGCCGCATCAGCCTCAGCAGGGGCGGCGGGGGGCTCGGAAGCCACTGACTGATGATTTCGAGCCGCTCCCCTCCCCGTGTGCGCCTGCAGCACCGCTTCCGCCAGCACGTGAGCGGCGCGGTCTATCGCGGAGCCTCGTCCGCGGTTTCCTCCGCCGCGCGGAGAACCATTCCGCCGGCCACGCCGGCCACCTGATCCCGGCGACTGAGGACGCGGCGGAGAACGCTCCCTCCTGCGGGAGTCCCCACGCCCCGCGGGAGCCCCACGCCCCGGCGAGGCGGCGACGGCTGAGGCGAGCGCTGATGGGGAGACCGCTGCCGCGGCGAGCGCTTCCCCGGCGACCTCTGCGGAGAACGATAGCGGCGGTCGCGAGGCTGGACGTCGCGCTGATACTCCTCCCGCCGCCGCCGCGCCTCATGCGGCGCAGGGGAGCGATACACAGGGGACGCGGGGCGGGACTCTCGGCGCTGTGGGGATCGCCCGCGCTCCTGACGCACCGGCCCTGCATTCGACGCGACAAGAGGGGGAGCGCGAGACTGCTCGGGAGACACGGGACGGTCCCGTGAACGCAGCGGAAGAGACAATCCGCGCGAGAGGCGTCGTACGGGCTCGGTCGCAGCAGGACGTGCAGGGGCCTGGGGACGGGGAGGCGCAGAATCTGGGATCAGCTCCGCCACGGGCTGGGCGCTCTCCGCGGTTGCCTCCAAGGCGCGGTCGCGACCCACGGACTCCGCCATCACGACCGAGACGGGAACCGACGACGCCAGAGCCTCGGCCTGTGGTGGACGTAGTTGGCGAAAATCGAACGCCAACAGCTCGCGGCCTGGCCACGCCGCGAGGAACGCCTGTCGGGCGGCGCGCAAGGGGAAGAGGACGGCGAGCAGGAAGGGCCTACCAAGGTGGCGGTCGCCGGAGTGGTGCAAGCGGATACGCGAGAATTGCGGAGAGACGTCTTCGAGAGCGCGTGAGAGACGGTGAAGGGGCGGCTAGCGAGGGAGGAGACGGTGAATCTGAGACTGACGGGAGTAATGGGGGTGACCCCGGTTTTATCCCTGAATCGGAGGGGATTTCAGATCTAGAAGCTGAAGAGGAAGTGGAGCTCTTGGTACATGGGGCGGAATTCCCCAACCGAGAAACCGGAGCAGCATCTGCAACGCGTACACCTGCAAGGAATCGGACCGCAGGGGGAAACCGAGCCGCAGGGGGAAATCGAGCCGCGGATGGAAATTGGATGCAGAGGGGTAATCGAGCCGCGGAGGGAAATCGGGTGCAGAGGGGAAATCGAGCCGCGCCTGCAAACACAGCCAACCCAGGCGCAACCAATGGGAACCCTGCAGCCCAAATTCCCCCCCCACCAATGATCAACGCGGCGGACCTGGCGAAAAGGCTGGACCTATTCGCTCAGGTTGCAGACTGGGACCTCCAGCCACTTCGCGACAGCCGTCAGCCACCCCTCGCACGACATCCGCCAAAAGACCTTCGCGAATCGTTCGCTGCCTACCTCCTGACCCCACTCCTCCACCTGGCAGCCAATCCCAACTCAACTCCAGGGTGGAAGTTACTGGTATTCCTCCCGCGAATTCTTCTCCGCACCTCGTCAGCTCGCAAACCTGACTGGTGCGCGATGATGAACAGACTCCTTCGTTTTCGCCAGGGGTTCTGGTCCGACCTGTATGACGAAGCGGTAGCAGCAATCTCCCTCCCACCCCAACCCCGCCACGCACCTGACACGCAAGGCATTCTCGCCAGAGCGGAGGGACTGGCTAAGCGAGGAAACCTCGCCAAATCACTCCAATCTCTCCAAGCCACCCCCATTTCACCCGCCTCCCCTGAGGTCCTTGAGGCCTTGGCGGCCAGACACCCACAAGCACTCCTCCCCTTACCTGAGTGGGTGCGGGCCTTCTCCCCCGCGAACACACCGGCGATAGAGCCTCTAGACTTCCGTCGCATCATCGCCAAGCTCCCGAACGGAGTCGGGGCCGGGCCCTCGGGAACCACCTTTGAGCACATCCGGATGCTGCACTCGGAAACCCTGACATCTTCAACCACCTCCTAGCACTCACCAACACAGCGCTTGCAGGGAAGCTGAGCGCCGAAGCCGCGGAACTCCTTACTGCCTCGCGCCTCCTTGCATTCACGAAGCCCCAGGGAGGTACTCGGCCCATAGCAGTCGCGAAAGCCGCCCTGTTCTTGACAGCCGCATCTGCGCGAAGGCACTTCGCGCCCCTGCAATTCGGAGTGGCAGTAGCCGGAGGGATTGAGGCCGCCATCCACACAGCGCGCACCTACCTGGAAGCGAATGGGGGGGCCGTGGCGCTGCAGATTGACCTCGCCAACGCCTTCAACGCGGTGGAAAGAGCGGCGGTGTTTGAGGGGCTGAGGAACGACGCGCTAGGAAGCCTGGTGCCCCTCGTCCGCCTCTCCTATGGGGCTCCCTCTGCCCTCCACCTCGACCATGACTTCGGGGTGGCGCCTCTCCAGAGCGCAAGAGGCGTCCGCCAGGGGGACCCCCTTGGCCCCTTACTCTTCGCGGCAAGCATCCACCCCTGCCTAGTCGCCACCGCCGCAGCCCATCCCCAAGTCGTCGTCCTCGCCTACGCGGATGACATCACCCTGATGGGCGAAGCGACAGCCTGCACGGACGCCTTCGCCTACCTCACCACGGCGCTGAAGCGCCTAGGCCTCGAGCACAACATGGCCAAGTGCGAGGCTTGGTCCGCAGCTGCCATCGACCCCGCATCTCTCCCGCCGAACATCGCCATCGCGGCAGACGGGCTTCGAGTCCTTGGGAGCCCAATCGGCACCGCCGCTGGCTGCGCAGTGCGCGTGAGAGAGAGGCTCGAGTCCGCGGCGGAACCGCTGCCGCTGCTGTCCCAGATGGACCCGCAGCTGAGCCTGCTCCTTCTCACTCGCTGTGTGAGCCGGCGTGCCTCATTCCTAGCCAGGACAACCCCCCTGTCAGCTTTACCTGAGGCTGAGTGGTCGGCGTGGGGGGAGCGGCTGCTGCATACTTTCCTGGAGGCGGCACACATCGCCTGCCCAAGGAGCGGGGAGGAAGGGCGGATATGGCGGCAGGCGGCGTTACCTGTCACTTTGGGAGGGCTCGGCATCACCAACCCGGCGGTTGAAGGAAGCTACGCTTACCTGGCTTCGGAGGTGGGAACCTCCCACCTGCTCCGCTCCCTGGCCGACACGTGCACCCCGACGTGACCTCCCTCCTCCCCCTCTTTGACCCCGACCCTGACTCTGCCCAGGCCCTTCCAAGGCGGCTTGCAGCGGCAGAAGCGGCCCTCCCTCCAGAGGCTATGGAGGCCCTCCAGGTGGGAAAGGCTAACCCCCAAGGACTCAAGCTGCAGCAGTCCCTCGCTCTGGCGGTCCACACCCACCACTACCTAGGGGTCCTGGATGAGGCAAGGCAGATGCGGCCCAACCCCCTCTCTGGCCACGCCCAGCGGGTGCAGTCGGCGCTCGGCCCTGGTGCTGGAGACTGGCTGCTGGCGCTGCCAACCATCCCATCGCTGCGGTTGGGACCCTCCCAACACTCCTCTGCAGCAGCCTTCCGCCTAGGCCTCCCCCTCCCCGTGCCCAGGCGCTGTGACTGCCGGTACCGCACCACCTTCCCGGACGACCGCCTCCCCAACCACCTTATGCGCTGCGAGAAAGGGGGAGGGAGGATTGCGACTCACCATGCACTCCGGGACGAGATTGCCCTGATTGGAGCTGAGGCGGGCTTCACGGTGCACAAGGAGACTTATGTGTACTCTCTCGTTGAAAACCTAAAGGCGGACGTCACAATCCGCCATCCCCTGACGGGAGAGGTGTGGATGTGCGACGTGACCGTGACCGATCCAGTGTCCCACCAGGATAAGCACTGTAACCGGGCTCCTGGATGGGCGGCAAGGGCAGCGGCGGCTAAAAAGGAGGAGAAGTATGCTCTACGAAACGCGTGGGTGGGCTTCCACGCATTAGCAGTCGAGACCTATGGATACCCGTCCCCGGGGGTGATGGCGTACCTGCGGCAGTGCGCGGAGCTGGCGGCCAAACTGCGCTACAACGCGGCACCTACCTCGTACGAGGCCGCCAAGCTGCTGATGGAGTACCGTCAGCGCTGGAGCGTTTGCCTCCAACGAGCTCAGGCCAACGCCCTCCGCTCCAAGACCAACGAGGCCTTGGCTGCAGACGAGCTCGGCCTACAAGGCCCCATTGTCCCTCTTAGCGAGGGGCAGCTGCACCAGCTGATCGAGCCCCCATTCGACCACTAGGGTCGGACTGAGGGGGGGCGGGAGAGGGTAGGAGTTTGAGTAGGTAGTAGCTTTTCTGGTTTTGGTTTGTTTGCTTGGTTTTGCACCTTCCTTTGTAAAACCCCCATATTAATGCAAGGCCCATTCGAGAGAGAGAGAGAGGGAGAGAGAGAGAGAGAGAGAGAGAGAGAGAGAGAGAGAGAGAGAGAGAGAGAGAGAGAGAGAGAGAGACTTAGCCTCTGCCTCTAGCCTCTGCCTCTGCCCTCTAGCTATATAAAGAGCCCGTGGGTTCATTCTTCTCTCATTAGTTCTTTTCATTCCAGTTTTTGGCAGCGCTCGAGAGAGAGCGTAAGCACTCGGCCCATTGGAGGGCACCCGCGGGCTCATGCGGGGCCCCTACACCCAGGCCTCCCCCCTGACCGAGTGGCTGGCGGAATGCGAGGAGGGGCTGCCCCTGCCGGCCATGGAGGTCCTGCAAGCAGAAAGAGCGGCCCCACCAACGGGGAAGCTGCAGCACGGATTGGCCACCGCTATCCAAGGCCAGCGGTATGCGGTACAAGTGGAGGAGGTGCGCGGGATGCGGCCGAACCCCAACAACGGCCACACCCAACGGATGCTGTCCCTGTCAGGATATGGAGCGGGTGACTGGTTAAATGCCGTGCCAATTCACCAATCGCTCCGACTCGACGCTCCCCATTACGCCAACGCCCTCCAGTTCCGGCTGGGGCTCCCCTTTGCGGCTCCGGGGGTGTGTAACTGCACGAAGAAGGTAGTGATCTTAAACGGCTGCCCAATCACCTGCTGCGGTGCGGTACAGGGGGGGGATGTATCAACACGCACAATGAACTTCGAGACGAGTGTGCGCGAATGGCAAGAGACGCCGGCTTCATGGTCCACATAGAATCAGCCGCCTTCAGCCCCGTGGAAGGGAAGAAGGCCGACCTAGCCCTCCGCGACCGCACTACTAGCGCCGTATACATCTGCGACGTGACTGTAACGGATCCGATTAGCACCCGGGACGAGAACGCAACCAAAGGGCGGGGATGGGCAGCACGGGAAGCATCGGATAAAAAGCACGGCCTTTACAAGGACCGCCCGGAGGGGGTTAAGTTCTTCCCCCTCGCGGTCGAGACGTATGGGTGCCCTTGCCCCGAGACAATGGACTTCCTGAAGTTACTTGCGGAATCGGCTGCACGGCGGTTTTTCAACGCCGAGCCCACCTCCTACCAAGCTGCCAAGCTCTTACACCAATATCGGCAGCGGTGGTCGGTGGCTCTTCAAAGGGGGCAGTCAGTCGGGTACCTAGATAAATGCAACATCGCAGCAGCAGTAGAAAACCCGCTGCTTGAGGCGGTAGGAGAGGCCCCGTCACTTGGGGATTGCCTCACGGTTCTGGACCCCACGCTGGATCTCCCTTAGAGGGAGACACGGGGGGGTGGCAGCGTTGCAAGAAGAGTAGGAGGTTTTCATTTGTGACGGCTGTTTCGTGCCATACCAATACCTTGCATGTGTGTACTCCATGTTTATCAATGAAAGGGCCATTAGAGAGAGAGAGAGAGAGAGAGAGAGAGAGAGAGAGAGAGAGAGAGAGAGAGAGAGAGAGAGAGAGAGAGAGAGAGAGAGAGAGAGAAAGAGAGAGAGAGACAAAGCGCCTGGCACACCCTGGCCACTCTTGACGTCACGGCCATGATGTCACGGCGCATGCCGCCCAGCCTCTCCCCCACTGTCTCGTCAAACACGGCGGTCCAGTTGCTGGCCCACGGCTCGCGCTCGTTGCACAGGTCGATGCCGCGCCCGTACTGCCGCTGGTTGCGCAGCGGCCGCCCGATGTGCGACATGGGCGCGAAGTAGTGCAGCCGGTGCACCGCCTGGGATGGGGAGGGTGAGGGGGATGGGGAGGGCGAGGGGGATGGGGAGGGTGAGGGGGATGGTGAAGGAGGGAAGTAGAGAGAGTACGGAGGAGCTTATAAAGGGCAAGACATAATGGACGGGACGGTTGATGTGCGACATGGGGGCGATGTGCGACATGGGGGCGTTTTTTTTGCGAATTCTCAAAAACACCCTGCAGCATCATGGGGGCGAAGTACTAGAGGCGATGTAAGGCCTGGGTGGAGGAGGTGTGAGAGGAAGTAGCGGGAAGGAGTGGGGACAGCGAGGGGGAGGAGGACGGGGTAGGAGGGAGACGGGAAGCAACGGGATGGGAAGGAGGAGCTTGCAAGGGGCAAGGCAAAACGGAAGGGGGAAGAGAAGAACAGCATGGGGGCGCTATTCACGACACGACCGTGCGCAGCGCAGCGCACCGACCTGGATGCCTAGTTTTGAGGCACCTCAAAACAAGAGAAGAGCAGCATGGGGGCGCTATTCACGAGCGCGCGCAAAGCACTGACTGACCTGGATGCCGGTGTGTGCAGGCACGCAGGGCCGGCACTTCGCGCCGTTGAGCGGCGCAGAGGAGGACAGCGCAGCCACGGGCATCATGCTGTGCGGATACACGCGGCGGCTCATCACACAGAAGGGCAGGTCCGCCCGCCCCAGGGACACGTTTGCCACCTCCAACTGCGCCTTGAAGCCGCTCTCTGAGTTGAGGTTGCTGGTGAGATGGGGAAAACATTGGTGAGGAAAGGATGAGGGGTACATTGGTTACTGGTACAAGCAGCAGGCCAGCTCGCAGCAGGGGCACGTTTGCCACCTCCAGCTGTGCCTTGAAGCCGCTCTCTGAGTTGAGGTTGCTGGTGAGATGGGGAAAACATTGGTGAGGAAAGGATGAGGGGTACATTGGTTACTGGTACAAGCAGCAGGCCAGCTCGCAGCAGGGGCACGTTTGCCACCTCCAGCTGTGCCTTGAAGCCGCTCTCTGAGTTGAGGTTGCTGAGGGGCGATGGGGAAACATGGGTGGGGATGAGGGGTGCGTTGGCACAAGCAGCAGGTCTGCCTGCCCGCCCCAGGGGCACGTTTGCTACCTCCAGCTGTGCCTTGAAGCCGCTCTCTGAGTTGAGGTTGCTGGTGAGATGGGGAAACATTGGTGAGGAAAGAGAGGTGGATGGGCGCGGTGAGTGGATGGATGGATGATGCGTGATGGGTTGTTCGAGGGTTGTGGGAGGGATGGGCGGAGAGAGAAGCCGTGAGGTGAAGAGTGGAGTTGGAGAGAGCACGGCAAGGCATTGCTGGAAGGAAGCTACACACGTAGTTCTCCCTTTCACCATCACACACTCCCTCGCTCCATTCCTCCTTGCAACTTACCCGCTCTCCCTCTTTCCCAACCTACCTCCTCATCCTTTCCCCCCACTCTCTACTGCTCCCCCTCTCCCCATTCGCCCCCCCCTCCACCCCCTCTTCCCCTTCCCCCCACCCTTGCGCACGTGTACCCGCGCCTGCCCAGGGCATGCAGCATGCTGAGGCGGTGCAGAGCAGGCGCGGACGTCTCCCACGTGCCGGCGCCAAACCGGTCGTTGAGCCCCATGCAGTCCGTGCCCCAGGGGATCGTGTACTTATCCACCTCAAAGCTCCTCAGCACAGGCGGAGGCCTCGACCAGAAGGTATCCACCCGTGACCGCACCACCCAGTCGAACCGCATTGCATGCCTTGATTCGTACGCGCGGATGAGCGGCACGCAGCCCTCGACTAGCCGCAGGTACTGCAGCATGCCCTGGTCTCCCTGCGGGGAATACTGATCATGCAGCACGGTTCCTCCACCGTACTCCGTGCCGTTTACCCACGTGCTTGCGAACACACGCACGCCTGCAAGGAACTTCCTGCCCGCCCACACGGCGCTCCAGAGCTTGAAGGCGTTCTCGTCGAGCGGCGAGTGCAGGAAGAGGGATGGCGAGGGGAGTGCGGGGAGCAGGCGTGTCACGATGGACGGCCACGTGAGCTCAAAGTCCCGCGCGCCGCCCACGAGGCAGAGCGCCGTGCGCCACTTGCCGGGGGGCTTTGACAGGACCTGCCGCGGATGGAGGTTGCGGGTGGGAAGGTGGGGGAAGGAGGGACGAGTGGGGAGGAGGAAGGAGGAAAGGGGCGGGAGGAGGCGAAGGGGAGGGGGGGGGGGGGGGGGGGGGGGGAAGTGTGTGGGTGGGGATTAGGGGGCAGGTGCATGAAACTCGCGAGAGCTGCTGGGAAGATGGGGCAAGGCTGAGGGGGCGGACGGCAGGATGTGGGGAGGAAAGGGAAGGGGTGGGTGGGGAGGGGGTGGAGAGGGGGTGGTGACGGACCCGGCCTCCTACAAGGATGAGTTTGCGCGGAAAGCACCTGGGTGGGCTGCTAGAATGCAAGCCGCCGAGAAAAAGGGCAAATACGCGCGGCGAAATGCGTGGGTGGGCTTCCACGCCATGGCAGTTGAGACTTACGGCTATCCCTCCCCGGGAGTGCACGCCTTCCTCCGCAGCTGCGCCGAGCTCGCGGGCAATCGACGATACAACGCTGCGCCGAAATCTAGGGAGGTGGCCAGGCTGTTCATGGAGAACCGGCAGCGCTGGAGTGTGACACTCCAGCGCGCCCAGGCCAATGCCCTCCGCGACAAGACCCACGAGGCCTTCGCCGCGGATGAGCTCGGCCTGCAGGGCCCGTTTGGCTGCCTGGGGTGAGGAGCAGCTGTACCAGCTGCTGGAAGACCCCACCGGCCAGTAAGGGCCGTGGGGATGAGGGGTAGGGGAGGGGTGAGTTGCGGTACCATTGTGTGTAGGTTTGGATGATGGGTTGTTTGTTTCCTTGCTTGTCGCTTGTTTGGTTAGCCTAGCTAAACAACATTGTCTGTACCCTGCTGCTACGAATACGAAGGATCGTTCGAGAGAGAGAGAGAGAGAGAGAGAGAGAGAGAGAGAGAGAGAGAGAGAGAGAGAGAGAGAGAGAGAGAGAGAGAGAGAGAGAGAGAGAGCAGAGAGAGCAACGCAGCTCACCTGTTGCCGTGCTGCTTTGTCGCCAGCCCACACTGGACGTCCGTCTTGCTCCTCCCGCTCCTCCCTTCCCGCTTCCCATCCCCCCTCTCCTGTTTCACTCCTCCCTTCTCTTCTTCTCCTCCCCTCTCGCTCGCTCCTTTCGTCTCCGCCTCGCTCTCGTTCGCGCCACTTTCACCGCCTTTGCCTGTCACGGCACCTTTCTCTACCTCTCTCGCTGTCACCTCTTGGCCCCTCGATTTCGTCACGCCTCTGTTTCTGCTGCTGCTTCTCCCGCTGCTGCCGCTGTCACGGCTGCCAACGCCGTTACCTTTGCTGCTGCTGCTAACACCTAGCAGAATTAGCAAGTCTACTTCCTGTCGTGCCACGCAGAGTTTCGGCGAGTCCAGCAGCAGAGGGAAAGAACGAAAGATACAAAGACAGAAGATGGAACAACAGTTTACTGCAAAAGAAGGACCGGGGATAGTTAGCCAGTATGCAGAAGCTGGAGCTGAGAGAAAGACGACAGAGGAGAGAAGCGAAGCTGCCAATAACGAAGGAAATTGGCACGAGGGGCTGGAATCCCTGCTGTGACTCTCCATTGACCCGACGCGCACCTGATTGTTGCGGCTCGCGATAAGCGGAACGAGGAGGAAAGCTGTCGTGATGAGTGCAAGGAGGAGAAGTACGAACGCGGGACACGAATACCACCGACGACGCCACGCGGCTTGCGCCATGCCTTTCCCGCGCCGGCCGCTGCAGCATCCCGCAATCGCACCACTCGCCGGCGCGCATACGAGCGCTCGGAGCTACGTGGCAGCTGAGGCCGCGCCAAAGAAAAAGCAGGGTTGGACGTTTGTCCCGCTCTAAACCAATCTGTCGTGCACACGTCAGACGTAGACTTCGCTGACGTGTCACCGAAGATACGCTGTCTTATACTGCCCAAAAGGAGGTGGCCCACGTTACGCTGACGCAGATTCTCACGTTTCTAGACCGATAGATGCGATGGGATGACCGCTAGCTGCATGGAATGAACGATATAAGCGGGAGGGAACCCCTTGTGAAGGCTGGTTGTGCCTGACTATTGGCCGAAACTAACTCACCCACAGTTCAAGGAACGAACTAGGTGGTAGTTGGACTACCTTGAAAGTTTCCGAACAGACGGGCTTCGGTTCGGAACACGGTCCAGTAGTTGTTATCTTCGTTACTGTAAATTCGCACAAGGTGGTGAGGGCGCCGCGCTTCGCTGGCCCTCGTCACTCGCCGACACTACCATCAGTTACTTAGGGCGCGTGTGATCAAAGTTCGAACTTCCCAAAGTTCGAACTTTTAGAAAGGTTCTACACGGTAGGATACAATTGAGCGATGTCTCTCCACGATGCAAAGCGGTTTGAGTTCGAACTTTGACAAAAATCCTTGGATCACACGCGCCCTTACGTGGATGTATACATGATACAGTGTAAGAAAATCTTCCAAATTCCTTCCTCGGGCACCTTATGCGCGTACAACTCCAACTTTCAGAGTTCCTAGCTGAGTCCGATGACCTCACCCTCCGAACGTCCCTCTCGTCGCCTTCAGGTTTTCCAATCCCGAACCTGCACCCACCATACGTGGTCTTGCGACCTCGGCCTAGCTAGCCTTCGCTATATCAATGCTATGTCCCATTATTTGAAAAGTTGTTATCACTTCCGCGATATTGGATTATGCTCACTCTTCTTATTACAACTCATAACACTTGGTCCCTGTTCGCCACGTCTTTTGTGGGCCATCAAAGGGATGGGAGGGGGATCCGGAATCCGCCCTACACCTTCGGAAAGGGCTGAAATCAGGGTTTTGGTGCCGGTCGGACCGACAAAATCCTGTCGAGCCTAACGATCCCCTCCGAATCTCGGTGGGCTCACTGTCATGGCGAACACCCACTTTTATGGGTTGGGGCGGGGGATCCGGAATGCGCATGGCAGTTTCTTGCCCTGCCAGCTAGGAATCACATCCCATCCCTCGCCTCTCCCTCGTGCATACCACTAATTTCGGTGGTGCATCCCCTTTCCTGAAAAAAAACCCCCCCTAAAGGAAGGGGGGAGGCAGGTGCTAGATCCCCTTGTCCCCCTTCCTGATCCCATTGGCGAAATTTCAGTAGAGGGCTAGCCCCCCCGGACGTAGTTCGCAACTTCCTGCGCACCTTCTGGAGCCCTCGCCCATCCCCCGCCCCTCGCCTATAACGTGGTCGTCACGAACACCACCTTGGAATCAGAGCTATTTTTCTAGGTTACCCTCTCATTCCCGGAGTAGTTTTAGTGACGGGATGCGATATACTTGGTGGGCTGCGAAGTGGTCGGCTTAGAAACAGATACGATTATTTCGCTCCGACTACGTTAGCGTTCGCGCCTTAATCAAAATCATAAAAATCGATGTTAGGCAAAGCCTGAGAAACATGGACCGCCAAGTTTAACGAGCTCGTGCAACAGTTCCGAGCGATGCAGACCACCATGCAGACCGCGGAGGTCGAGCGCCTAAGGGAGGAAAACACCGAACTACGCCAGGTGCGAGGTGAAGCGCGCTAGGAGTCGCCTGTTGTGGACGAAGCGAGCAGTAACTCACAAGCGGACGAGACCGTTTTCAGTGAGCTGGAAGGCTCCATGGATGATGAAGATGAGTGGCGGGCACAGCAACAACAGTCGTAGGCAGCGCTGAGACGACAACATAGTCATAAGCAGAACCGAGACGGTCACCAGCGACGATGCTGGTGATAACTTCGGCATCAGCAACAGTATCAGTCCAGTGGCAGCTCCTAGAACTGTCAATATTAAACCGACAAACCCACCCCCGTACTACCCCAGCGACAAGAGCGTCACTGTTTCTGCATGGTTGTTCATAGTGGACGTTTTCTTCAATGCTACGCAAATTGCTGATGATGCCACCCGCATTAATTTTGCAGTATTACTCTTACGGGAACCTGCGTTGGAGTGGTGGCGATGCACGCTGCAGTCAAATGGGACTTCGGACGGGATATCACATGCGAATGATGAGACCTCGACACATGTCACGCAACGACCAGCATCAATCTTCGGAGTGGCCACAATACGCACATGGAGGAAGTGGAGCGCCACCTTTCGAACCAAGTTCGAGCATGTTTCGCCTCAGATTCTGCTTGCATGAAGCTGCGTGTCTGGAAGAAGTTGACATTGGTCCGAGACTACACAGTGACATTCTGCGCGTTGGCCGATCAAGTGGACGACATGGGCGATGCGGAGCAACTCAACAAATACGTCGCAGGCCTCAAATACCAGATACAGTTCGAGGTGCGACGTACGAGGCCACGCAATTTTATCGACGCCATCCAGGTGGTCGAATCAACGGATGCGCTGATGCAGTGGGCGAGAATAAGTTCCCAAGGGGGCACTCGTTTTCGTGGCTCGCCTCAACTGCTTACGATCAACGGTGTGGATGTGCCTATACGTGCCTCAGGGCCGTGTTTCAATTGCAACCAACTGGGCCACTCCAGGAAGGACTGTCCAAAACTGAAACAAGAGAACAGGAATGACGGAGAGGGGTCTGAAAAAGAGATGAGTCAGTAGTAGTCGAGCTACCTACTGACAAGACCACGTCGCCCGGCAATCAACATCAACACCGAATGTTGGTACCGATACGGGTTATCGACCGCAATCGGACGAAGAAGGTGGATAAACACGTGGATCACCCTGTGCTGGTCGTTGTAGGGAGGGTTGACGGGTACAAAATAAAAATATTCGTTGACGGAGGGGCTAGTCATAGTCTTATCAATCTGTCAACGACAAAAAAAAAAAAAAAAAAAAAAAAAAATCGGAGACAAGCTGGACAGATGTCTGCCGGAGATCGATGCAAGGCTGGTGGATGGGACACCGCTGGCGATACATGACGAGGCGCGACAAATTCGGATGAAGCGTGGCGACGATTTCGGGTTCCCCATGAAGATGCTGGGACAACGCTAGTCGGTTGCGATGTGCTGCTAGGACGGGACTGGCTGCAGCGGTTTAATCCGACAATCGACTAGGGCGGGAGCATGCACAGTGCCCAACAACAAAGGGGCGTTACACTTCCAAAATGGACGGAGCCGGAGCCAATGATGACACGTGTCAACGCCATCACGCTCAAGAGGGCGGTAAAAAGGGGAGCGCAAGGCTACACCGTACAGCTGTACGAGGTGGTTGCGCCTGAGAAAACCGTCGACATTGACATGCTCTGCGCTCTTGTATCAGAGGACATGGCGAGCATAATTCGGAGGTATCTCCAAATTTTTGCGGATGACCTTTCCGACGGGCTGCCACCTTAGTGACCATAAGACCACAGGATTGAGTTGGAGCCTGGCGCGCAACCTACTGTTCGGTCCTAATGGCGGCTTAGCAAACCGCAGCTCGACGAGTTGCGGAAGCAGCTGGGTAATCTGCTCTCGAAGAGATTTATCTCTCTGAGCACGTCACCTTTCGCCACCCCGATACTGATCACACCGAAGAAGGACGGAGGCCTGCGCATTTGCATAGGATCGATAATTGAGCGCTGAATAGGATCATCATCAAGTCGTGTTACCCGATTCCGCGAGCAGACGACCTGCTAGACTAGCTTCGTGGGACTCGCACCTTCTTGAAATTTGATTTGCGACGCTACCATCAAATTCGTTTGTTCGTCCATGACTGCCCAAATACTGCATCTTGCACCAGCTATTTCACAGTGGAAGCCGTCTACGAACATCACGGGGCTGCAGAGTTTCCTCGAATATATGCGAACTACATCCGCCGTTTTGTACCGAATATGGCGAAGGAGACCAAGCCGCTAACCGACCTTCTGCACGAAGGCACGCTAAATCTGTGGGGGGAGAGAGAATAGTTGGCCTTCGACGAGCTCAAAAAAAAATTGAGTTCGCCCGTGGTACTTCGGTTGGCAGATCCATCTCGACCGTTCGAAGTCGTAATGGATGCCAACGATTTTGTCATTGGCGCTGTCCTATTACAAGATTTCGATAACGGGCTGCAACCAATCGCGTACAAGTCACGCAAGATGCATCCATCTGAGCACAACTATCTTGTACAAGACAAAGAAATTCCCGCCATCGTGCCATCACATACAAGGGTGCCAACAACATCGCCGACGCCCTGACCCGCCCATCCATGCAGACCACTGCAGTAATTATCGCCCATTCGAATCCACTTTTATCGGGGCTATTCACCCACGAATATTGAACCTACCGCTTCTTCAAGAAAATCAACACCTTCGAGTCACCACTCCACACGGTAAGTTTTACGTAGAAGACAGTATGATCCGGGTTTGGGTTCCGTCATACCAACCCGTACGAGAGTTGCTGACGCAGGAGATTCACGACTCTAACCTCTCCGAGCATTTCAGCACCGTCAAAATTACTATTGACCCGACATTGCGCCGGACGTGCAGCGCTACGTGACAGCTTGTCCGACATGCCAAGCTTGGAAGTCGTCGCGACAACGCCTAGCTGGATTGTTGCAGCCCTTCGAGCCACCCTAACAATCGTGGCAAAAGGTGATGATGGATTTCACCACTGGACTGCCTGCTGTTGCAAGTGGCAATGACTCGGTACTAGTTGTTGTTGACTGTTCAACAATATGTCGCATTTCGCACCATGCCGTACGACGATCACTGCCGAAGAATCTGCGAAGCTATTCATCTCCACCGTCATTTGCCTCCACGGGTAACCTTCGGTGATCATCAGCGATCGGGATCCAAAAACAGCGTCGAAGTTCTGGCAGGGGACGTGAGTACAGCACGGCACCCACCTGCAGTTTTTGTCT